GCTTTTCCGGCGGATCCTGCAGGTAGGCGTTTTTTGCCCTCGGCTCTGAGCACCGCGGGGCTGCGGATCCACGTGGATTAAAATGCAAACTGTCTGAGGGCCACCCCAGTGTCGATGTCAAATAGGGGAGCAAGTTCCTGTTCCAGACACCGAGGCCTTTTGATGCACTGGGTTGAGGTTTCAATGTCAATATTTGTCAAATATTATTGTGCCCATGTCCCATCTCCTTTCTGCACTGCCCCTTTGTGCGCACGGGTGAGTAGAGCCAAGGGTTGCTTTTGGGTTTGCAGTTTTGAAGCCCCAGGTAGACAAAGCCACGGCTGGGAGGATGCAGTTGGGGCTGGTCCTGCTTGGAGCAGGGGTTGGACTAGACGTGACCTCCCGAGTTTCCTTCCACCCTTGTTTTCTATCATTTTAACTCCCCCTGCACGCCAGCTGCTGCCTCATCTTTTATCCTTATCTTTCTTCTTGTTCAAAGACAAATGGCTGGTATTGCCTTACACTGAGAGGGCACGGAGGGAGCCAACTTCACAGCCATTACCATCGTCACAGCCACATGGAGGGGAGCAGCAATTAGAGCGAGGGTTGCAGCTAATTGACACAACACTGGGGAGAGGGCTGGCAGGGGGTATAACTGCATGCCGGCAAGTGTAGCCCATAAGTTGAATCCACCATAACCTGAAGATGAGCCAAGAGGGTGCTCTTGTTGCAAAAGAAGCCAACAGCATATCCTGGGTTGTATCGACCTCAACTGTCATTTGCAAACCAAAGGCAGGGATCCTGCTGCGCTATTCAGCCCTGGGGAGGTCTCACCTGAAGTCCTGTGTCCGGTCTCGGGCCCTGCACTTCGAGAAGGATGTGGATCGGGTGGGGAGAGTCCAGTGCAAAGCGGCAATGATCATGGGCCTGGAGGCGAGACCGCGGAGGGGAAGCTGAAAGAACTAGGTCTCTTTAGTCTGGAGAAGAGACAACTGCAGGGTGGGGGTTGATAATATTCTTCTCCTACCTGAAGGGCAATGTCAGAGAGGATGAAGATGAGCTTTTATCCATGGCTGCAGGAGACAGGACTAGGATCAATGGCCTCAAGCTGCTGCAGGGGAAACTGAGGCTGGAGGCGAGGAGGAGCTTTGTGCCTGAGGGTGGTCAAGCATTGCAGCCAGCTGCCTGGAGAAACGGGGGCATCTCATCTTGGACATTTTCACGAGCAGTTTGGGTGGATGCTCGCCTGGGGGATGCTCCTGCCTTGAGCGGGGGGCTGGACCAGATGACTTTGTGAGCCATCTTCCCGATGGTGCTGTGATCCTGTATAGCAGGGGTGGGGAAGGCGGAAATCCCATTGTCAAAATCCATGGCTTACGTTGGCCCTGGGCTGCCCTTTGCCCCTATCTGATGATAAAGCGCCTCTTCCTGAAGGCTGCGCTTATCTCGCAAGCCCTTATCAGGCCCTCTGCCCTTTGGCACGGTGCTAAAACAGTGCTAAGCACCATGAACCTTGTTGCTATCAAAGATCCTCATACCCTCAAGGGACTGGTTATGTGGCCAGGTGCATGATTTAAGTTTAAGCTTCATTAGTCATCCAAGTGCAAACAAGCCTTGAAAACCCTCTGGATGCATTGCCCTTTTCCAGGTGTCATAGGGCTGGGTGAAGCCACGATGGTCCAGGAAACATGAGGCAGGCAAGAGGATTTTTGGTGCAATACTTCCCTGGACTGACTGTATAGCTGCCTCTCTGTGCAGTTGGTCCATAAAAGATATTGCCAATAAACCATTGCTTTCTATACCTTGACGGCTCAAAAATGACGGTGCAGAACTTCACTACATTTTTTTTTTTTTTAAAACCTCCCCTTTTTCCAGGAGCAACGATAAGAGATTTGAGCCAACAGAGCCGTTTCCAGGAAGTTACAAGAGCCTGAAATTTGAGTGAAAATCCTTCTTCAGTCATAAGAGCAGCATTGCTGCTATATTACACCATGGCAGGGCCTTTCTGTGGACTGGATTGATGGTGTTTATGGGGTCCGTGCCTTAGCAATATCTTTGGCTGACCAATTTAGGAGAGAGCTGTTATAAAAGAAGTGTGTGCTGCTCTGCTGCCTTGGTATCCAGATGGACTCATAAAAGCAGCTATTTTTTTGTGTAGTTTTGCCCTCCCTCCACTAAAGCAATTGGGTCGTGCAGCCACGCTCCTCTCGCTCCAAGGACCTTGGCAATATTCATAGGATCTGGAATATGACAAGGTGGTTAGAAAGCCGGCTCCCCAGCTGCGGTTCCCCCCTGCTACGAGCTTGTCTTTGCTGGAAGTGCGTATGTTTTAGCTCTGTCGGGACAGCTAACGCGGTGCAAGTCCTTTAGTGTAGACACGATCATACTCCTGTAAAGGTGCTTTGCACCATTAGGGTTTTTTTACAGGTAGGAAAAGAAATAGCAATATCAAGATAGGCCTCCTTTGCACTAGGAACACTGCACCCTTGCTTCCTTCTGATGCAACTGTTTTGGTAAGGAAGAAAAATCCCACTCCCACTTCTCCCCATCAGCTGCTGGTCCCACCGGGGTTGGGTAAATGTAGGTGATAGTCAGGTAAATGTAGCCTGATGATCTACCTGCAATAATTGGTTGGGCCATTAGATGAACATGAGCAAGACTCATAAGAGCATATAAAAACATAAGACTTGTGATTTACTGGGTCAGATTGTGGGTCTGTCTTGCCCAAACTCCTGTTTTCTATAGGGGCAGAAAGCGGAGGCTGGAAGGGGGAGCGAGCTGGGTCTGAGCAGGGTTTTCCCCTGCTCCTCTCTCCCTTGCAGCCTCCAGCATTTAGGGTCTGATGCAGACGCTGTGCTCCTTGCACCCTGCTCCAAACTCAGCAGGCCTGGCCTCTTGAGTCTCTTAATCCTGAAGTTCCCTCTTAAAAAGCAGCCGCTGGGAACCAAAGGACTATCGCCGGCTTCCCGGCCCCAAGAGGCAGCAGCTGGCCCTTTACGGCTGTCATTTATTGCAGTGTTTAGACTAATAGCCCTTATTCCTCTTAAATACTTTACTGTGCTACAGATGGGCTCGTGCCTCTCCATTTCCTTTTTCTGACAGATGGGTTTTGCACACACCCCCTTACAAAGCTCCCTTTGCTAGCACTGCAGCTATACTCCTGCTATCCCTATCCATAGGGAAAATGACAAAATACAGTAGCCAGGGCCCAAAAAGTTGCTTGGAGAGAGACCAATGCCTCAACCCACATGGTCTATGGAGCTTGCCTCTGGTTGGCGCCGCCCTGGGCTGCCTCCGAGTCAGCAGATGCATCAACCTGTAGTGCTGTGATAACCCGAGACCAACACCCCTCTCCTGCATTTCCCTCTCCTTTCCCAGCCCTTGTTCCAGCTCTCCCGTGCCTCTTGGAGAGCTGTGCACCCCAGACCTTAGTCTGCTCCAGGAGGCTTGTCCTTAGGTCCCCTGAGTGCGTGTCCCCCATGCACCGGCAGCTTTGATATCATCCCGGCTTGCTCTTAAAATACATCACGAGTATGCACCAAAAACCAGAGGCCTGAGATCAAAACGAGCTGCCTCCACTGACGCAGGTTTTGCCCGCTTCATGGGCAGCACAGGAGAGCAGGTGACTTGTGTTGCTGTAAGTGCACAAACGTCCTGTACACTTGGGCACGATTGATTGTGTGATTGTCATAAGATCACGAGAGTGTAAGAGCTGTGTCAGAGCACAGGTCCGTCTGGCCCCGTCTCCGTGTCACGCCGGCAGGGAGCGGAGGCTGAAGGGAGGGCGATTTGGGTCTGAGCAGGGTTTCCCTGTTCGTCTCTCCCTTGCAGCCTGCATTGAAGGTCTAGAAAGCTCTGATGCAGAGGCCGTGGCCCTCGCTCCCTGCTCCATAGCTCCTGGCGCCTCTTTCCTTCAAGGATGTGTCCGATTTCCTTCGTGAATCTGGCTGCGCTCGTGGTTCCCACCACATCCAGTGGCCGTGAGCTCCACGCTTTAATGACACGCTGCGGGGAAAAAACCAAACTTCCTTTTGTTGGTTTTAAACTTTAAAAGTTTGCCATCGACTCTTCTTTGCCGTCCTGTCTCAGCCAGCCCCTGAGATGCCCCCTATCCCACAGCCCTTCTCAGATGTTTGCTCCTATTCTCATTCTCTCGGCATTTCTTGAGATCTCCTCAGGCCTTTTTCCAGCCAAAAAATGTACCCTGGCTCAGGAAAAGCCAACTCCTGCCAACGCCGGTCCCAGACAGCTCTGTCTTCAGCCCAGTGTGAAGAGACACGAGGTAGCTGTAATGCAAAAAACAAAGTGAAGGAAAACTCCCTCTCCCCTCTGGAGGCCCCTGTTTTATCTCCCGAAGCAGCACGGGCCAGGCAGTTTTCCCTTTGCTTCTCCCAGGTCGGGAGGGTCTCCATCTTCCCCTTGCAAGCAGGTGATGGCAGGGAAGGGGTGATGCTTTCCCAGCCAGCTTTGCCCGTCTTAACCCTGCCCATCTCTTCCCCCAGCTCATCCCTGAGATCTCCTCCCTGGCTTGGTTTACGACCGTGGTGCCCCTCGTCCTGGTGCTGACCGTGTCGGGCGTCAAGGATGCCATCGATGACTTTGTAAGACGATGGGAGGGGGAGATCGCTGCCTCCCCATGCAGTCGGTGGAGGCGGGGTGGAGACCCAGCCTCTAATAAACCCCTGGGTTTTCACAAGTGCCACGTGGCCAGAAGCTCCCCCCAACCTTCATGGGACTTGCTGAATTGGGGGTCTTCGTGTGGATGCAGGCGTCTGAGTGTGTGCATCCGTGCTCGCCAGGTTGGAGATGCCCCTGGGAGGGGGAGCGGGGTCCCCGATTCATGAGCCCAACGGCACTGGCTCTCTTCAAGTGCAGGGAGCTATGGCAGGGGTCAAAGTGTATCGAGGATTCGATGGGAGGAAAAGCACCATGCAAGCGTGGCGTGTTCCTCTGGGAACCCCGAAACGGGCTGCTTTACCCCCCACTTGCATGCATTTGGGGCCAAGAAGCGTCTCCCCCCCTCCCTGATTTGACTTTTGTCTTTTCAGAATCGGCACAGGAGCGACAATCACGTCAACAACCGCCCGGTGCAGGTGCTGATCAACGGCAGGTGAGGCTTGCAGCCGATGCTGTCCTTGGGGCCAAGCAGGCCCGGGGCACCGAGGGAAGTCTCCTACTTTTGCAAATCTCCCCCATCGCATCGGCCCTTGCGGGGTCTGGCCAAGCCCCAGCTGAAGACTCGGGAAGTTTTGTCCTGGGGGGAGGCTGTTCCCGGCCTCCCTGGTTAGAAACCACCTCCCTTGCTGCAACTTGAGACCATTACTCCATTTACAGTATGTCTCAGAGACACCGGACTACTCCTTGCTGTGTCCCACGTGCCTCTGTTGGATTAATTTCTGAGCGTTCAGAGCAAGATGTGGTCAGCGAGCAAGGAGTTTGGTATTAAACTGACAGATACTGTGGATGGATGGAAGGAATGATAGTGACTGGTGAGGAGAGGAGGAGGGAAATGGGCTGATTGAGCCTGCAGAAGAGAAGACCGAGGGGGATTGAATAGCAGCCGTCACCTCCCTGCGGGGGGCTGCAAAGAGGATGGAGCTGGGCTGTTCTTAGTAGGGGGCAGATGGCAGGACAAGGAGCAATGGGCTCAAGTTGCGAGCAAGATGTGGTCAGCGAGCAAGGAGTTTGGTATTAAACTGACAGATACTGTGGATGGATGGAAGGAATGATAGTGACTGGTGAGGAGAGGAGGAGGGAAATGGGCTGATTGAGCCTGCAGAAGAGAAGACCGAGGGGGATTGAATAGCAGCCGTCACCTCCCTGCGGGGGGCTGCAAAGAGGATGGAGCTGGGCTGTTCTTAGTAGGGGGCAGATGGCAGGACAAGGAGCAATGGGCTCAAGTTGCAGCAAGAAAAGTTGAGGTTGGATATTAGGAAGAACTAATATCCAGTGACCTAAAACAGGGGGGTCTCACTCACCCCAGACTGGACCTGGGCTGCAGGGGATCCTTCTCAGCTGTGGGTGCAGCAGGTCCAGGGCTGCGTGGCAATGTGGAGCGGTGCTTGGGTGGCTTCTTGCATCCGGAGGCACAAAACTGTTTGGGTGGCAGGGGGCTGCTACGATGGCTATGTCCATCACGGTCCAGGACCCCCAAATTCTGCAGCAGGCCTCATTGCCCAACTTCCAGGCACCCACAGGACTACTGGTAGGCCCGATTGAACAACTTCCCAGGCTGTCTGTTTGCCATCCCTGGTCTAAGTCCATCGGCCCAGGTCTGCTGTGGAGTTTTTCCAGTGTGAAGGAGACCAAGAGCAGCGGTGCAGGACTGCGGGCTCACCTGGCCACATTGCACTTGCTCTTTTGTACCTGCTCAGTCCTGGCAAGAGGCACACACGCCAGTTCGGGCACGAGCCCTGCAGGTGCCATCAGGCAGCTGGGCATCTCTGCAGGCTGCTCTCAAGCACTGGTCCCAGTATGTGCCCATGGGCTTGGAGATCACCCGGCTGCCGGATGATCTGGGCTCTGCGTGACACCTGATGGGGACTTTCTTGCAGGTTGAAGGAGGATAAATGGATGAACGTCCAAGTCGGGGACATCATCAAACTAGAGAACAACAACTTTGTGACGGTGAGTGACCCCCCAGGAGACAAGTAAGCCCGGGGGGGACAGGACTAATAGGTTCAGAGACTCTGATGTGCAGGGGTGCTCTGCCTTGAGTTTACACCCTAACGCCCCAGGAGCTCACCCCCCTGCTTTGTCTGTGTCCAGGCTGACCTGCTGTTGCTGTCGAGCAGCGAGCCGCACAGCCTGACATACATCGAGACGGCCGAACTGGATGGGTAAGTGCTCCTGGCCCCGGCAGAAGGGGATGGGCAAGGCTAGGGCTTGCATAGAGAGCCTCAAGGCCCAGCTATCGCCGCGTCCTGAGCACCGTCCAATCTCCACCGTCCAAATCCCTGCTCCGATTTGTTTTTATCAGCAGGGCAGGGTGACCCTGGTTGCACAAGCCAGTGCATCATGATCGTGTTTGCTAGCTGCAATGCCCTTTCCACCCTGCCTCTGTTGCAGGCATGCTCTGTTTTAGAGCTGGAGGACGTGGTATGTGCAGTGTTATTTTTGCTGCTGGTGTGGTCCCCAGCCCGTGCACACACCTCATCGTCCTCCAAAGGATTGCATCTCATCTTGGCTTGCCCACCAAGTGCGCTTTGAGCGCTCGAGGGAGGCGCGGCGGGTCAGCTCCAACATGTTCTGTGCACAGGTTGCAATGGACGTTGGAGGGCATGCCTCGGAGCAATGCCAGTAGCCCTCGTGGCTACAGCTTTCCCACGAGCAGTGACCCTCTCACAGTACCTGGTGCTCTCACCTGCTTTTCACCAGTGGCAGGAACATCAATTACTCTAATGACCCTCAGCGTTAGCTCAAAACATGTGGTTCTTCTGTGCACCCCAGCCACTGTCAGCACTGAGGTGAGGAGCTGCCGGTGTTACCCACGTGCCCACGGTATGGGGCTGTGTGTATAAGATGCAAGCTCCCACGTGCCCTAAGGGACATTTCATAGGATCACAGATACTGAGGGTGGAAGGGAGCTCAGGAGGTCGCATCTAGTCCAACCCCTGCTCCAAGCAGGACCAGCCCCAACTGCATCATCCCAGACAAGCCTTTGTCTACCTGGGTGTTTAAACACCTCCAAAGATGGAGACTGCACCACCTCCATTTCAGTGCTTCAACACCCGGAAAGTTTTTCCAAACATCTAAACTCAACTTCCCTTGCTGCAGCTTGGGCCCATTGCTCCTTGTCCTGCCATCTGCCCCCACTGAGAACAGTCCAGCTCCATCCTCTTTGCAGCCCCCCTGCAGGGAGGTGAAGGCTGCTATTCAATCCCCCTCCGTCTTCTCTTCTGCAGACTCAATCAGCCCAGTTCCCTCCTCCTCTCCTCACCAGTCCTGTCCTCCAGCCCCAGAACCATTTTCATTGCCCTCCGCTGGACTCTCTCCAATGTGCCCACATCCTTTCTCTAGCGAGGGGCTCGTTTCGATTCTTCCCTTCCCAAGGGCCTGCCGGGAGTCTGGGGCAGCACTGGCTGATTGGGAGCAGTTGAAATCACCCTCTTCTTTTGGGCCAAATGCTGCCCTCTCTGAACTTGGCCACAAAGAGCAAGCCCAAGCTGTGGAGGCTGGCCCTGATCCTCCTCCTAGCAGTGCCCAAATCTGTGACTCTCTCACATAAATGCTGGGGTTAGAGGGAGATTGAGAGCAGAGATGGTGGGGTCCATGGCCCATCTCCAACACCTCCCTGGCTGGGCAGCCCCAGGGCTGCAGCATCTTCTGCAGGCCCAGAGAGACCAGCCCCTACAGAGGTGCCCGGATATCACAGGGCTGAGCACCTGGATAGTCTGGGGCTCTCCCGGGAGCTGGTGCATGGGACCAGACTGCTGCTTTGCAGTGCTGGGGTGAGAAATGGGGTCCTCTGACCATGGTCCTCTGGCCATGAGCTCCTGAGTCCTCTGGTCTGGGGAAAGAGCCACTTGAGGCAGCAGCAAAGACTGGTCTTGCACCTCTTATGGCCAGGCAAAACAGCTGGTGGTTTGCGCTGTAGTCCGGAGAGGCAGCTGACAGGCTCGGTGTTGGCCCCAACCCGCTGGAGGAGCAGGGAAAGCCCTGGTTGTGCAGGCATCTGACTGGTGCTTTTGTCTCCTGGGATTACAGTGAAACCAACCTCAAGGTGAAGCAGGCGCTGACAGTCACTGCGGAGATGGGAGAGGATCTTCAGAAGCTGAGTGATTTTAATGGTGAGTGCCCATGGCCGTGGAAACCTCCACATCTTTCCTAGGACGCTGAATCCCAGACTAAAAATCACAGGTACCTAGAGCCGTGGGGCTGGAAGGGAGTGCAAAAGTCTCATCTAGTCCAGCGCCTGTCCAAACCAGCCCAGACAAACCCAGCCCCTAAGCAATACGACACAGTCCCCCCGACACAGCCCCGGGCATGACACCCGATGCTGCTCCAGAGAAAGTAGGGGGCCGCGGCTGCCAACGTCCTGCTGCTGCAAAGGATGCTAATAGATGCTCCAGAGACCGCAGGCAAAGGCCGTGCCCCTGCTACAGAGGAAAGCAAAACCCCTCAGTCTGCCCCAACTTCACCATCCTAGCCAAGTATCCACCTTGGAAACTCCCAGGGATGGATACTCCACTGTCTCTCCAATGCTTGACCCTCCTCAGCGTCGAAATGATCCTCTTCATCTCCATCCTCAGCTTCTCCTGCTGCAGCTTGAGGATGTTGCTCCTAGTCCGTTCCCCTGCGGTCACAGAGCAAAGCCCATCTCCATCCTCTCTGTCATCGCCCTTCAGGGATCTGTGATCAAATCCCCGCCTCGGTCTTCTCTTCTCCACATTAAATAACCCTGGATAATTGAATAACCCTGGATAATTCAGCCTTTCCTCATGAGCTGCCTCCCAGGCCCCTACTCCTTTTTGTAGTCGTAGTTGGATGATCTCCAATCTGTCCACGTCCCTCTGGAAATGCAGGGCCCAAAACTGGATGGGATGCTCCAGGTGCAGCCTGAATGGAGCAGAAGAATCCCTTCCCTTGACATACAAGTGACAATCCTGTTCATACGACCTGGCATGCTGGGTTGTATCGACCAAAACCCACCGCCCAAAACAAAGCCGTTTTGCCCTCCGCTGCCTGCAGCTAATACAGTGGAAGTGCAGCGAGCTACAAAACACGTTCCTGCCACGTTGCACATCCCCTGGTCCTTTATGTGAGGCAAACAAGAGGCTTGATCCTACTGGACAGGCATTTGCATCCCAGTGGCCATGGTTAGCACCACCTCCTCCAGGCCCAGAAGACTGTAGGATGAAATGCATGGCACACTTCCTTGGCTTTGCTTTCTCCGACTTAAATGTGTAGCATCAGGGCTTATAAAGCATCTGTGCCCTAGCAAAAGAAAGAGGCCAGTGCATGCATGGTTCCCCTTCCACCCAGTCCTCGGGGCTCAGGTGCTCGTACAAGCCCTCCCTGCAGAGGCAGGACGTGCTGGGTTTTTGGGCAGGGATGTTAAACTCACTTCCCCTCCTGGATCACTAGATTTGGGCTGTGTTGTGCTTCGGGTCACAGCAAATGGAAGACGTGCCATTTGCTGGGTTGGACCCTTGGTCCGTCTTGCCCAGTCGCATGGCGGCAGAGAGCGGAGGCTGGCAGGGAGAGTGATCTGGGTCTGACCAGGGTTTTCCCCTGTTCCCCTCTCCGGCATTTAAGGTCTAGGAAGCTCTGATGCAGAGGCTGCATCCTTCACTCCCATGTTAGTGCAAATGCAACCAGGACGGGTGTGAGCTGTGTCACTCCGACCTCTCTGGAAGGGGCTCGAGGGTGGCAGCAAAGCCACGATGGGCGTGCATATGGAGAGGGCGGGATGGTGCGGGCAGGCCCCTGTAAGGACTTTCTATGAGCACCTGGTTCTCAGGAAGTATTTGGAGATAAGGAGGGAAAAAAGGAAATGAGTGTTTGTGAGAAAAATGAATGCTCCTGCTGATATGAGCAGTGCTGTGGAGTTGGGCTGAGAGATGCTGGGATCATCTCTGGCTGTACCGTGCAACGGGGCTGCCAGCCAGCTCACGCCCAGCACCGGGATCTTGCAAACCCGCGTTCTCGCGCTGCCTTTCAGTTGCACGGCAGCGCTGTCCTCTCCACATCCCTGCATTAAAACCTCTGAAAACCAGAGACAACAGGCTGCTGTGGCAGCAGTATCTGAACCCGTGGTGGTCAGTCTTGACCGTTGCTTTGCTGAAGTGCCCCTGGGGTCTAGCCGAGCCGCCATGCTGAACTTGAACTCCATTGAGGTAACTGTTGTGCCGCTGCAGCTTGATGAAATGACCCTTCTCCACCAGGATCATTTGGCTCAGCTTATTGTTCAACATCCTCTACAGCGGTGCAAATTGGGGAGAAGTAGGGCCGGAAGGGATCTCCATTAGAGTCCAAGCTCTTCTCCAATTTGTTTCATTTTAAAAGGCCATTTAGTTCAGACGGGTAGAGCACGCTGCTAGCAACCCCACGGTTGCAACATCTCTGGTCAGACTAGATGATCCCTTCCAGCGTCACTTCTTTAGGAAAAACATTCTGCGAAAACCCTCTGTTATTGCCTTGCTGCAAATACTTCCATACTTGTAATGTTTCCCAGCTGTATTTATATTTGGAAGAGTGCCTGGAATTAGCTCTAGCCTCGCTTTTCCCCAGCTAACCTCGGCGCAAGTACTCCAGTATTTATGCAGGTCTTAATTGGAGGGCTTCCCAGGACAGGAAGAGAGCAAAAGGTTGAGCAGCTAATAAAGGCAGAGAATCAAAATGCTTTACAGGGAGCCTGGTGTGCGTTGGTGCTGCCCCGGTCCATGTAGAGGACTGTTTGCAGCACGATGGCTGTCCTGTGCTGTTAGGTATTGGGAAGCGGGAGACGGGAGAGGAAGCAATACGACGGGCTCAGTCAGCTCTCTCCTGCCGTGCCTGGGTGGCACGGTCTTTGGCAGTTTTTGGGTGACATGGGTTAATTTGGGAATCCAGTAAGTTCCCGCGGGTTACTGTTCTCAAGGCGGGATTTGCTGGATCCTTGGGTCCCAACAAGGATCCTTGGGTACCAGCCACAGCCTAAATAGTCTGCATAAGCCGTGCCTGAACAGAAGCATCAATTTCAGGCGAAAAATATCTGGTCTTGATTTTTGAACCCTCTCATGATGAAACTGCTCCATGGTTAATTGCCCTCAGGGTTACATTAATACACTTATCTCTACAATAGTCCGGCTTCCCCTCCCGGATCTCAGCTTGGCTTTGTCTCTGCTGGACGGTACAGCCCTCTTCCTTTGCATTTCGGTTCCCTGGTGCAGACGGTGGTCACCCCACGGCCGTCTCCTTGATGAGTTGAATAGATGGAGAGGGTGTCTGCATTGCACAGGGCAGTGTTGTGCGGGGATACCTGGGCAGCCTAAGCTCAGAGCTCTGCTCATGTTCAATAGCCAAAACAAATCCAAATGCCGAAGGGATCCAACCGAACCCTTGGGTTTCCATGTGATGGTAGGGAGGTCATAGACATCACAGAGAAGTGGAGCTGAGAGAGACCTGCAGAGGTCACATCTAGCCCAAGCCCTGCCTGAGGCAGGATCAGCCCTGTGCAAACCAGCCCAGACAAACCCATCGTCTAAACTTGCGGTACCCAGGAGAAGCAGCACTTCCAGCATGAATGCTGGGGGCCAGGAGCTCTGTGGCTGAAACGGCCCGTGCGCAGAGTGCAGCGAGGGATGCCGCACGTTGGAGCCAAGGCCCCGCTAGTCCACGCAACGCGCCCATTGTCCGTTGTCTTCTACCTGCAGGCGAAGTCAAATGTGAGGCGCCCAACAACAAACTGGATAAGTTCATGGGGACTCTGACGGTCCACGGCGAGAAATACGCCCTGGACAACGAGAAGATGTTGCTGCGAGGCTGCACCATCAGGAACACGGAGTGGTGCTTCGGGCTGGTCATCTTCGCTGGTAGGAGGAAGAGCAGAGTAGAGTAGAGCGGCGCCCTGCAAAGCACAGAGCGACGCGGGCGCGCAGCTCCTGGGGGAGGGAAGAGCCGACGTGCCCCCTTTGGGAGAGCTGTTTGCACCGGGCACAAAATCACGTGTCAGGGCTGGTCTTGCTGCGGCAGCCCTCTGTGTGTGCCCTGCAGTAGACTGGGGAAGGGGCAGGAAGCAGAAAGCAGAGCAGGGAGAGGGCAGGGTTTGGCATGGCACTTGGGGAGGGTTTCGGGGCCAATTTGTGCCTCACCTGCCTGAAAAGGTACTAAATGATGCATAGTCCTGCTTTGAGCAGGAGGTTGGATTAGAACTGACCTCCTTGCTCTATGCCTCTACATCTCCATCTGTATTATGGGGATAACAGCACATACCCGCCTCCCTGCAAAGCTGTGAGGGTCCCTTGCGGTTTGCAAAGTGCCCGGGAGCCATGGAGGGAGGTAGCTGGAGCTGGGCTGAGCGTGACCAGTGTGAATCACAGCTGTGTTTGCTTTTCCAGGGCCAGACACCAAGTTAATGCAGAACAGTGGGAAAACAACATTCAAACGGACGAGCATCGATCGGCTAATGAACTTCCTTGTGCTTCTGGTGAGTCCTGCCTGCAGATGTGCTCGGTGCTTAGGCATACCCCTGCCCCTCCGTGCGAGGACACCGATAGCGGCTCTCGAGCCTGTCGCAAGCCCTGGAAAGGCTCAGTCGTTAAATCAACAGCGTCGAGGCCCTTTCCTCTTGGCTTTTCATCTCCTGTGCTATTGCTCTGCGGGAGTCCCTTTGAAGCCTGCCCGTGCCATCTCCCTGGCGGGGTGGGTGGCTTTCAGTTTAAATCAACACTAACGTTTCCTTCTCTCTTTCCTGCTTCCTTGATATCTTCAGCGATGGCTGCTCAGCTCTCGGTAATCAGGTTGGTTCATTTGCCTGGCACTCTCTGCTTCTCCGTGTAAAATACCGGGGGCTCAGTAATAACCCGAGACTGGCACTTTTTGCCAAGCGGCATGTTGGGAAGCATGAAGCTGCTTACGTAGGGTAGTCCCCATTGATGGAAAGTGGAGAAAAGGACCTGGGGGTGACAGTGGACAATAAGCTGGGTATGAACCAATTCATCCTAACCCACATCTGCAATAGCAGCTTCAACCCAACCCATGCCTTTCGCAGCATGCCCTGGCCCACTTGTTTCTCTCGGCAATAAGCCACGACTGAAATGACAGTACACCAGAGCTCAGACCAGCTACCTCAGGGCCATCGCAGGGGTCTGCAAATCTTGCGACTACCTGCTTTAAATCCATTGCTACGCAGCAGCTCCAGTGGTGTGGACGCCTGGTCCCAGCCGCCGCGGCTTCTTTGCACACGATAGTAGTTCAACCCTCCACCCCACTTGTAGAAGAGCTCCTGCTTAAATGTGGCCGAGTCAGCCCCTCCACGAGACCTTTGCCAGCAGCTTTTTTTTGATAAAATAGCTTTTTCAGCCACAAACACAGGGGACTAGATTCTGGGTGTAAATCAGTGGTGTTTCTCCAGCTGAGCCTTGCCCAGCTCTTTGGGTCTCTTTCCTTCTCTAAAAGGACTCGGGAGAGAAGTGGAGCCTGTGCCTTGGCTTGCACGACTCCCCCCGGATGCTTGAGCTCAGATTAATGCACCTCTGGCAGCGGGTCCTTGTCCTTTCTGGCATGAGGCGGCAGCTGCCACATGTTCAGGACACCTCTGGAGCGGGTCGGGGGCTGGATAGCTCGTGCTGCTGCTTGTCAGGGCTTTGTGAATGAGGATCTGATATGTGCCGGCCCCAGGCATAGCACGAGGGTGGACTCCGGTAGTGACTGCTGGATGGGGACTGAAGGGGGTCACATCTCTGTCACCACAAGCACCTGTTGCATCAGGGTGAATGCTGAATCTGTGGGAAACTCGCACTCCCTTCAGCCTGCCTGTGGATCAGAGTGCCTCTGCTCTTCTGCTTCTCAGCACCCATGCATGGTTTCATGCATCCCTTTCTGGTCATCCATTTAGCATGGAGCAATCCCCTGCACTGGTGCAGGCTGGGGGTGACGGGCTGGGCAGCAGCTCTGCAGAAAAGGACCTGGGGGTGATAGTGGGCAATAAGCTGGACAGGAGCCAGCAGTGTGCCCTTGGTGCCAAGAAGGCTACCGGCATCCTGGGCTGCATTGGTAGAAGCGTTGACTGGCAGATTGAGGGCAGTGATTATTCCCCTCTATTCAGCACTGGGGAGGGCACATCTGGAGTCCTGTGTCCAGCTGTGTCTCCACCACTGCAGCCACTACAGAAAGGATGTGGACACGTTGGAGAGCGTCCAGAGAAGGACAATGGAAATGATTGTGATGGAGTTTCCATCCTTGGACGGGGTGCAGCTGGCCTAGGCATTAGCGTGCACGGCGCTAGCTCAGGTGTCCGTACACAGCATGGTTCTTGCACTGTATGTGCACAGACCCCGGTGTTATACAGCTTGCACATCCCTGGGCATCTGGCGTGGGTCAGACATATAGGGGGAAAGGAGGGGACTCTATCCAAAGTCTTTAAACACACAGCCTTTGTGACGAGCAAGAGGACAGGTGTATTATTCAAGCCGAGCAACCTGGTAGGGGGCAGGCATGTGACTTGTTAAGTCCCTGCTTGCCTCATTTTTGGCAGTGACGCTGGAGGTGAGAGCTTCTAAGACGGATGCACAAGTGAATATTGGGGCTTCCCGAACATGCAGGATCCTTGCTAGCAAGAACACAATGTGCACCCCAAATGCCAGGGAGAGGCACCAAAAGGGCACAATCAGCAACAGGCCATGAGGTGGTGGCAGGCCAGAGGTGGGAGAGGTGTGAAGGGCCAGCCTAGATCCCTTGGGGGTGCTGGCAGTGGGAAGGAGGGATGGGGCCAAGGTGGAGCTGCTGGTTGCGATGCTAATTGTGGAGCCCAGAAGTTTGCCTTTGCTCAGGGGTTAACCCCTCCTCTTCCACTTCCACATGGGCCTTTTGTTTCATGCAGCAAGCGGATGCTCACTGCATCGTCCTGGGTCCTTTGAGACTGAGGGATCAAGTCTTGCCTTTCCCCCTCTCAGGCATTTTTAAGGCACCTGGTACTTGGTTATTTAAGTATAACTCAGTTCTTCAACCCCCTGCTGCTAAGCAGATCTGCTCCCACGGCCAGCTCCTTCCCGCTCCAGAGGGGAAGCAGCATCCCCGGACAGTGGAGATGGACCCGAAGAGTAGGTAGCAGGTTGCACTGCAAAGCCTGGATAATGCACAGTGCTGCCCTTTGCTGAATCCAGGTCACAGCTAAAAATAATCTTATTGCAGGTGAAACCCGTCTGGCTCGGGCCAAATTGCAGGAGGGGCTGCTCTGTGTGCAATGGTCTGTAACGCTTCCAGGTGCAAAGTAATTATTAAGCAGGGCCTGCCATCCCTGTCCCAGTTAAATGCAGCCCCTTTTGTGCTGTGAATGGGATGGGGCAGAAGCACTCAGGCCTTCCTCCTGTCTGGGAAAGGCTCGTGTGTGGCTCCGATTGCAGCCACGGAGGCCGCGAGGGAAGCGCAGTCCTTCCTCGAGAGCCGAGCTGGAAGTTCGTGTTCTGCAGCCGGGGACGCGCTGTCCGGCAGGATGGAGCGTCCTTCGTGCGAGGGCTGTGCACTTGCATCAGATAAAGGGCGGCTGTTCCACCCCAACCCCGCGAAGGAGCTGTGTCTGGTAAACAGCTGTCTGTGCCAGCTGCACGTGCCTGTTTGCTCCAGCGAGAGGAGCAGGACTCTGCGTACTAATAAAGGCATGGAGACGGTTTCAGGTCACGGTCTGGCATTCCCGCTTCGCTCTCAGAAGTCAGTGTCTCTCGGGAGCGGTCTGGGAATGCCCCGTCCTGCAGGGATCTGTGCTGGCAGGTGTTGAGTGCCCTGCACTGGATGGTGCCACTGCAATCGGGGCAGGCAGTGTCCAATGTTGCACCCAGATGTGCACAGCCCTTGCTTTGCTGCAATGCACGGGACACAGAGACCCAAGCCACTGCCTTGTCCCCCTAGCAGACACGAGGCTTTGTAGCTGCCGGGCTAACAGCTCCCTCACGCCTCTGCATGATTGTTAAAGCAAACGTAGCAGGCCGCTGCCCTCTGCCCAAGCCCATGCGTCATGTGCCCACGTAGCACACCATGGGTGTGAGTGGGTGGACACGGGGAGAGGCCGGGTAGCACTTGTGCTCCATCGCGTGAGTGCTTCAAGTGGCACCTGGTGTTTTCCTCGTGAACGCCGGAGTATGAACGCACAACCTGCCGCTTTTAGCACCTGCGTGGGAGCGGAGCAGAAGGTGTTAGGGGAAATGAGGCTTCTTTTATGGCACCCGTCAGCATGATCTAACAACACCTCCCAATACATCTTGGAGGAGGAGAAATGCTGCCTGCCTTTCACAGGCATGGCAAGCTGTACCTGGAGATGGCGACTGTCCCATGGTGATGCAGGAAGGCTGTGGCTGAGCTGGCAAACACATCCAGATCTCCAAGTCCAGTGTCCTGGGCAATAAGCCACCCTTACCCCCATAAGCCTCTATGTAGATCCCCTAAATAGAGCCAAAAACAGCCAACACCCTGCTGCTGCAGATGCACACCCGAGAGCTCCCTTTCTGCAATACTGTGCGTGTAACTCGTGCTACCATTCACTCTTAGCAATGGACCCAAGGTTTTTTTCCTCGTTCGTGTGATGTTACAAAGGCCAGCGGCCCATGGACATTTCACTTATGCCTTCAGGCTTCCCTTTTCTGTCACCTTCCAACTGTCCTTCATTGACATTAATGCTTCTTGCTTTATCCATCCCTCTTGATAAGGTTTTATTGGTCCTTTCACATTGCCTTTGCCCGGGATGGGTCCTCGACCATGAAAATGTTTGCTTGTGCAATAGTTTTTTGGGGCTCTGCTCGGAGGTCCTTGGACAGCTCCCAGTTTCTACTTGCCCTTTGCGCTCTGGAAATGACGCTTCCAGTCCGGTATGCCAGGAATCGCTTTCAAATTTGGGAAGCAGACTTTTTCAGAGGTCAGAGTGTTTGCCTTGCTGGTAGGTGTTGTCTTCTGTTTGCACGAAGTAAAAGTAATCAGATAGGGATCACTGGTATCTAAGCAACCATTGAATCCCCGCCCCCCCGCCCCTTAGTTTAGCAATTAACTCTGCTTGGTCCCTTGGAAGGAGGGGCTCCGATATTGAGTTGAGCGCGGGACGTCGCGTTCAGAAATTCCCTCCTTTAGTTTCTAAGGAAGTTTTGCGTCAGGCCACGTAAGGCGTCCTGCAAATGGCCGGGGGGAAGTGGTCAGTGATCGCAGCTTTTCTGCCAGCCCGCTCCAAGCAGGGGTGTAAGAAGCAGCGTGCCCTGCGACGTAGTGCTTTGCAACAGCTGCTTGCCGTGCTCTTCCAGCATCCCGAAGCACCCGAGGTTGAATTGTCTGTCATGCTTTGATCGAGGTGCAGGTAACAAGGTCTTTGGTGTGAAGTGCCGTCAACCCAGTCTTTGTTCTCATCCTCATAAAACAAGTTGCCTTGCTGTCTCTGTGGCTTGCTGTGATGAACACCAGCCCCGTTTTGCTTCTGCAATAAATCTCTTTCTGTCATGCAGATCTTTGCCTTCTTGGCCCTGATGTGCTTCATCCTGGCGATTGGGAACGGTATCTGGGAGTACGACAAGGGCTACTACTTCCAGGTCTACCTGCCGTGGGCGGAGGGTGTGAACGCTGCTGCCTACTCGGGGTTCCTTATGTTCTGGTCCTACGTGATCATCCTGAACACCGTGGTGCCCATTTCCCTCTATGTCAGGTAAGTGGCAGCTTCCTGGCTTCTGCTTTACGTGGTGGAGAGCTCTCGCGTGCCCGAGCACGGAGCAGCGAGCGGCGTTACCCCGCGGTGCACGGCATCGGCCCCTTGCAATGCTTGTAGCCTGACCCCGGGGACACGTCATCCCGCTCCGTCCTGACAGCGATGTCCGACTGCAGCCGCTGGCCCCAGCGCCGAAGCAAGAGGGACCCGCTCTGTGACTCACCCGTGTCCCCTCGTCTCCCCTTCTCCCCTCCAGCGTGGAGATCATTCGTTTGGGCAACAGCTTCTATATCGACTGGGACCGGAAGATGTACTACCCGCTGAAGGACACGCCGGCGCAGGCCCGCACCACCACGCTCAATGAGGAGCTGGGGCAGATCAAGTACATCTTCTCGGACAAGACGGGGACGCTCACCCAGAACATCATGGCCTTCAACAAGTGCTCCATCAACGGGAAGTCCTATGGTACGAGCAGCCGCTTCCTCCCTCCCAGCGCGCTGGGTTTTCCCCTGCTCCTCTCTCCCTTGCAGCCCCCAGCGTTTAAAGCCCCTTCCAGCCCTAATGTCTATGAAGTCTATAAGGTCGAGGAAGCTGGGATGCACAACCCGTGCCCCTCGCTCCCCTGCTCAATACCGGCCGATGCCCCTTTCCTCCAAAGACGTGTCCAGTCCCTTGGTGAATCCGGCTAAGTGGTTAGTTCCCAACACATTTAGTGGCCACGAGCGCTCCCCTTTAATGACATGCTGGATGAAAAAAGAGCGGCCTGTGGTTAATTTTAAACGAACTGCCCGCTGGTTTTGTTTCATTTCATTTCAGTCCCCAGAAATAGCATGTGGTCTGTGGAAGAAAGGACTTACCTATTTATTAGACTTCCCAACACGGGTTCAGGGCGGCTTACAGAAGAGAACGAAGTAACGTATAAAACAAGCAAAACAGGAGAAGCCAAATCACTTATAAAACTAATTGGGCTGTGGCCACGCTCCTGCTGGGACTTAAATGGGCCTGGCTAGAGGGTCTTGCCCCTCCGTTCAGGGTCAGACTGATGTTGCATTGGTCAGGAAGGGATTTTTTCCCTGGTCAGACTGGTCTGGACTGGGGGGAGGTGGGGGTTGCCTTTGGCTGTCTGGGGTCTCTGGAGCATCTATTAACACCCTTTTATAGCAGCAGGCCGTTGGCCGCCACAAACCCCTGCTTTACCTGTGGCAGATTTGGGTGTGATGTCTTCTGTTGTGACAGGGTTGATGGCAGTTTTATGATGAGTTTAGATGATGGATTTGTCTGGGATGGTTTGGCAGGGGTTGGACTAGATGTGACTTTGGAAGTCCCTTCCAGCCCCACTCCTATGATTCAGTATAGAGCAAGCAACCTTATAGAGCAAAAATAACCTAGAGAGCAACCCCCGTCTAAGCAATACCCCTGCTCGGGGAATAATTTGTTACAGCAGGCTAGTTAGCCTGCTGTAACACTGTTAATCAAAGCCCCCCAACCATTTCCATTGCCCTCCACTGGACTCTTTCTAATGTGTCCACATCCTTTCTGCAGTGGGGGCCACAACTGGACACAGGACTCCAGATGTGGCCTCCCCAGTGCTGAATAGAGAGGAAGAATCACATCCCTCAATCTGCTGGCCACGCTCCTACCGATGCAGCCCAGGATGCCGGTCACCTTCTTGGCACCAAGGGCACACTGCTGGCTCCTGTCCAGCTTCTTGTCCCCTGTCCCCCCCCCGGGCCTTTTCTGCAGAGCTGCTGCCCAGCCCGTCGCCCCAGCCTGCACCGGTGCAGGAGACTGTTCCCTCCCCAGTGCAGGACTTTGCACTTGTCCTTGTTGAACCTCCTGAGATTTCTTTTGGCCCAATCCTCCAATGTGTAGAGGTCCTAGCCCTGCTCTCCAGTGTATCTACTACTCCCCACAGCTTGGTGTCATCGGCAAACTTGCTGAGGGTGCATCCAGCCCATTTTCCAGGTCATTAAGGAAGATATTGAAAAAAAATGGTCTGAGGACCGACCCCTGGGGCACTGCACTGCACCATATCTTTTGCAGGTGGAAGTCACTTTGTGTCTCCTTGTTATCGGCCCCTCTTCATTCCCATGCACGGACAGGGAGGTTACCCTGATGGTCTTTTCCATTTTAGACAGCGCAGCCCTTGCAGTCACCACTCCTTGCTACCCGGTCATGTGCTTTTGTTAGTACCTTTTCACTTGGCCCAAACTTTTAAAGCCACTTTAACCAGCGCTTCCCAGCACCGGAGGCTCAAAGCGTGTATGCAATGAGTGACAGCCGCCTGTTTCTAACCCGCAGGTGATGTGTACGACCTGATGGGGAATAGGATTGAGATTACCGAGGTAAGCAATGAGCTGCCCACAGGCTCTGTGATCCCCTGGGCCTGCCTGCCTAGAGGCTGATGGGCACGTGCCATGTCCACCCAGATGCAACCCCAGGGTCTGGCATCTGGGGCCAGGGAGCCCGCCCCTGACAGGTGTAATAAGATCATCAGAGCCTGCTTTTGAGAAGCCGACTGCCCATGGCTCCCCTGCCTTTCCGGGCATTTTGCTGGATGCTCAGGGTATATTATGAGCAGGACATTTAGCACCCCTGAGTGCAGGTAGCAGACCAGCATGGACGAACATCTGCTTGGACCCCCGAGCACTGCACCTTTCAGGAAAACCGCGAGCATTAGCAAACTAGGCGGTGAGCAGGGATGAGGCGCAGCCCTACCCCTGCTGTACAACCCTCCCTCCCGGCCTGCCTTCCTCCCCTTGAACGGTGCCTCTGCCCCGCGCACGCTAGATACTTCTGTGTGGCAATTAAATTAACGAATGATAAGTGTGTGTGTGTGTGTGTGTGTGTGTGTGTGTGTGTGTGTGTGTGTGTGGGTACGCTCTGATCCCACATCCTGCTCCATGCACCCATTTCCAGTCATCCTTTATTTTGCTCTTGGCACAGGAGGTGCATAAATAACTTTTGGCAAACCTGGCGGCATGCCCTCCCTGCTCTGCCTCTAGACCTGCCTCTCTCAGGCAGCAGCATGTGAAGGGTTGGCTAGTTTAAGGGGAAAATGCCTTTCTCTGGCCAAGCCACTACCCCAGGTGGGATGTGCTAGGTCCCTGCCCCCAGGCAAACACCGGCAGGTCAGAGGCCGGGCGCTCTCCTGCACATCCGAGTTCTACCCTGCATCCTGGCAGGGGACGTTGCTCGTCTGGTCAGCGCCAAATGCCAGCGCGGGCTGCTGGAGCCGTGAGTCACTCTCTGGAAACTCTGATCTCAGCATAGACGGGGCTGAAGTGGGGTCGGGGCCTGGGCAGGCTCCTGCGGTGCATTCCCCTAGTAGGATGTCACATTTGAGACCCACGTGCTGGCTGTTGCTCTGCTGGGCCCTGCTCTGGGCTGGGCACCTTTTATGTAGAAACGGAGATGGGCTAGGGGCTTGGTGCTGCAGTTTCACCTTTTGCAATCAGCCTGTTCTCCAGGCTGGTTTGCTCCCTGCTCCGGGAAGGCAGCACAGCATTTCCCTGCTCAGTGAGGCCTCCACCTTCTGCTCCTGGCTGCAGCTACTGGGATCAATAGCATGCTGCCTCAGAGCAAGAACACACCCCACAGCGGTTCTTCATGCACCGTTTAGCTCCTATAGCTGGTGTCCTACAAAAGCAACTCCCAGGAGCATGGTAGGGTGGGGAGAAGCACCTTAGGCCTCTGCTACGTGTGACATACATTACACAATTAACTAGTGAATTACAGAATAAATTTAGATCGGCCACAGGTGCAAAATAATGATCACACAATTAACTGGCAATTTAATTGGCACTGGCACATGCAAAGGAAGACCAGCCACATGTGCAAAGTAATGTTCATGCCATGAAAATGGCTGTCCAGCTACAAAAAGAGACAACCAGCTATAAAGTGAGTGCCTGAAAATGTGTAATAACTCTAGAGCTGGTGTCCATTTGGCTTTCATTTGACTGTGTAGCAGGGCCCCAGGATGAGTGATTGCCACGAATGCATGGGAGGAGAGGAGTTACTGGGAGTGAAGGGGGTACGGGTGACACGTTGCACCGGTGACGGGGATCCTTCCTTCTACAGGAGACGGAGAAGGTGGATTTCTCCTACAACCCGCTGGCCGACCCCAAGTTTGTGTTCCACGACCACAGCCTGGTGGAAGCCGTGAAGCTAAATGATGCCCCGACGCACAGTTTTTTCCGCTTGCTCTCGCTGTGCCACACGGTGATGCCGGAGGAGAAGGTGGAAGGTGAGGCTCCCAGAAAGCACCGAGCTGAGCAGCCATGGTCCTTGTAGCTTGAAGACTGCAGTGGGTCCTTATAATGTGCAAAGGACTTGCATGCTGGTAAAGGATAGAGCACAAGAGCCTTGTGCTCCCTGCGGCTCCTTGTGCAGAAGCTGGACACTGCTGCACTCGCAGCTACAGGGCGCTTGTACACATGACGCAGGGCGCTTGTACACGTGATGCAGAGCGCTTGTACATGTGACACAGAGACCACGTGAGCAGTGAGCTAGTAGCAGTGCTGGGAATGAAGTTCTTTCCTGCTTCCCTCCTTCACACAGGAGCAATGCAGGCTGCAGCTCGTTAGACAGCGGCTCGTTAATCGTGCTGAGCCAGTGCTCCAGGTGGGGGCTGTGCTTGTCTTCCTCAGCTTCCAGTGAAGGGGCTCTCCCTCCCCTTCTTCCTCAGCAAAGCACACGGTAGCTAGATTGGTCCAACGAAGGAGATCAATGAAAGGAGAGTGGCTGGCAGCAGGCAGCTAAAACTGAGGAAAGGACACAACCCTGGAAGGGAGCACCATTGGGTTGGGGAGCAGTCCTTCAAGAAAGGAGATATAACCCCGGAGCAGAGGCTAGGAAACAACCTCGAAGAAGGGCCTCTGGGGTTTAACAGCTTCCCCATCCTAGCATGCCTGGGTGAGTGGGGGGCAGAGAGAGGTGGAGGAAGATGCCCGTTAGTGCTACCCTAGCAATAGGGCACAGCAGAGGGTTGGATGAGCAGGAGCCTGAGAGCTTGAACTCCCTTGGTGTCAGGAGCAAGTCCGCGCCCTCCTGACGGTGCTGTTTCCCCTCGGCCCGGCAGGTCAGTTGGTGTACCAGGCCCAGTCCCCCGACGAGGGAGCCCTCGTCACCGCCGCCAGGAACTTCGGCTTCGTCTTCCGCGCCCGCACGCCGGAGACCATTACGGTGGTGGAGATGGGGGAGACCAAGACCTACCAGCTCCTGGCGATTCTGGACTTCAACAATGTGCGCAAACGGATGTCGGTCATCGGTGCGTGCCCCTGGTCGTGTCTGTCTTTGCTTTCTGGGTGGCGAGTCCTTGCCCTCGTGGGTTTTCTAGGAAGGGGCACTCGGGAGAGCCGGGGCAGGTAGATGCCACAGGGCAGGCACTACACAAACCCTAATGTGGGCAAGAAAAGGGATGTCTCAGGGGCTGGCCCTCCGTGATGCAGGTCTTCATTGCAGAGGGGTGGAGGCAATGCATCTCGCCTCCCTCGCAGCAAAGCAGCCCTTACGCTCAGAGTTACAGCGGTCCTTTCATTTATTTTGTCCGAAGAGGCAGAGGTAAACTTCTCTGCCTTGTGCCCTGGTTGTTGGGATCTGAGCAACCAGGCAAATGACCACTAGCAGCTACACAGTGGAGAAGACATAGGTACACGTGCTAATGGGTGGGGTGGATGCAGATACTCAGCGTCTGTCCTGCAGTCGGGCAGATTCCCGATTCTGCCCACAGACTTCTGCATCTTGGGGCTTTATACGTTTCAGATTTCCAACTGTTTTGTACCCCTCCCCACCCCCCACGATTACTTTGAAATTATAGCAAAGCAGGGTTGGAAGGGACCTGCGGGGTCACAACTCGTCCAAGCCCTGCGTGAGGCAGGATCAACTTTGTGCAAACCAGCCCAGACAACCCGTTGTCCAGCCTCTGGGCAAACCTACAGAGTCTGTCCTGACACAGCCCCAGGCATCACACCTGCCCCTGCCCCGGGAAAGCAGGGGGGCACAGCCACCAACATCCTGCTTCTGTAAAAGGTTAATAGAGGCTCAAGAGATCTCATGCAGAGGCTGTGCACCCACTACAGAGGAAGGCAACCTCCCCCAGTATGTACCAATGTGACCAGGGGGAAAATCCCCTCCTGCCCCAATGCAGCATCGGCCTGACCCCGAGCGCAGGGGCGAGACCCTCCAGCCAGGACCCTGCGGGGTTGGTCCCCATAGGAGCATTGGCACAGCCCCATCCCCAGCCTGGGATGCATCCAGCACCTCTGGGGGAGGCTTCAAACCCCCAACATGTAGAGAAGAAAGGGGAGCAAATGACTGCTTGGCCAGTCCAACAGGGAAGAGGTGAACTCTGGGACCGTGACGTGTACCTGGGGGCGTTGCACCAGCGGTGGGGGGTCACGGGCCTGTGCCCCGCTCTCACGTGCTAGTCACCGACATCTGGACTGAGCCTGTCCTTGGCATCAGCTTAGCAGAGAGGAGGGAAGTGGGGACCCCCAGCCCTGAGGGGGAAGGTGCAAGGACTCCCCAACATGGGGAGCTTGTTCTTTGCATTCAGCTGCAAAAAACCTGAGCGATGAATCTGGGAGCAGGAGGAGAAGAGACTCGAGCAGCGTCAGGAAGGGAGCAGTCCCGGGGCAGAGGGGTGCAGACGCACCAGGGCTTACTGTGGGCACAGACTTTGGTAGCACGGTGAACTGGCTGCCTGCACAACCAGGGCCTGGAGGGCAGGCTGGCCTGGCGTCCGGTTGTAGACGCCCTTTCCTCTGTATGTTGCCTGCAGGGTCTGACAGGGCATCTGCTCCGGTCAAGAGGAGCCGGTACGGGCTGGGGCCTGCGGTCTGCCGGGCACCTCTAGAGAGGAGAGCAGCTGCCCCATTCTCCATCCTGTGCAAACTAGATGTGTCCCTTGGCCCCTGACAGGCTGAGCGCCCATGGCAGAGGTGCAATGCCCCTGGGCTATAAGGCGAGTACCGCAGATCCCGCGTGCCAGGGTCTGGGGTTTCTCAGCGCCTTTCTCCACTTTGCTCTTAGTGCGGAGCCCAGAAGGCAACTTGACCTTGTACTGCAAAGGGGCCGACACGATCCTCTACGAGCTGCTGCATCCTTCCTGCGGGGACCTCAAGGAGGAGACCACGGAGCACCTGAACGTGAGTGCTGCGTGCGAGGGGACCCCTCGGCAGCCCGCTGGCCGGCCGGCTGGGCATCCCCTCTCTTTGAGACTCTCGCGGCTGGGAGTGGGTTAGCAGCGAGGCCGACAGATCTCTCGAGCACCCTGGAAGGAGCCCCTCATTCCTCCTTAAGGGCAGGCTGTTCTGCACACACTCGGGAAGCAGCTGAATAAACATCGCGTGCATCTAGGCGCTCGCGCAGCAGCGTCTGGAGAGCTCAGACCACAGATGATGGGTAGCGAGGCTGTCAGCCTTTCCAGATATAGCCCAGGCCAGGGGCAGCCTGAGATCCGAGTGGTGTGGGGGGCTGCGTGAGATGGACCGCGGGGCCTGACCGTCGCCCTTCAGGGTGGGTCCTGCAGAGACGAGGGTGGAGGCGGCACCAGGCAATAAACCAGCTTCCCTTTCCTTTGTCTGGAAAAGCTGCAGCATGTTGGCAGGCCGGTGCAGAGAGTCTTAGCTCCAGGCTCCTGGTTTCTCTCAGGGCAGGGTGACGGGCTCTCCAGCCCGAACCGTTAACCAGGGCTCAGTTCAGGTTGCATCTTTTAAGAGCACGCAGTGCCGAGGCTGAAGACCAGCCTGCCCAGATTGCAGCACAACAGGGCAGCGGGACATGTATTCGGATGCGTGGGTCGTCTAAATTGTGGCTGGCACGGAGCCCCAGAGCTTCAGCAGGCTCGGTGGGGCGCGCAGCCCCTGGCAGCAGAAAGGGGTTACATGGGCACATTACACGATCCCGGAAGCAGGTGGCATGGGGCAGCTGTAGCAGATGGGGCATGTGCTGAGGATACAGCATCTTCCTGGGGCAGCTGCCCTTAAGCCGTTCCCACACTGGGGGACCCAAGAGGAGGGTGATGGTGGACAGACCAGTCCCTGCTCTTGCAGAGCGGGGGAAAAAGGCATGCTTCCTGCTGGTGTCGGGGTCTATATTTCCACGGTGGTGGATGTGCCAAACATGCAGCTGCTGGCATTGAGCGTTCATGGGGGGTGACCGCCGCAGCGGACATGCGAGACACCCCATCCCACTGCTGTGTTTGACCGGATCATCACACGTCCATCACCGTTGCAATATGTCCCCCCTACCCCCTGCACTCCCAGTCACCCTTCTCCTCCCGTGCATTCGTGACCCCTCTCCTCCCCTGTATTCATGGCAATCACTCACCCTGGGGCTCTGCTACATGATCAAATGAAAGCTGGGTGGGTAGAAACTCAGCTCTAGAGTTGTTAAACATTTTCAGACACTCGCTTCATAGCTGGTTGGCCCTTTTTGTAGCTGGACAGCCATTTTTAGGGTGTGATCATTACTTTGCACATGCGGCTGGTCTTACTTTGCACGTGCCAGTCTGAAAACCTTGAGGGTGGCTCCCCTGCCTGCATGGTAACACAGGTGCCTTGCCAATGGAAAATTGCTGCAGTCAGATTTGGGAGAGCCTGTTGGGATGTGGCCACATGTAAATGGTAGGCTGGCAGCAAAGCGGGGAAACAAGCTGTGATCTGGGTCAGGTGCAGCTCTTCACTGCATTCCCTGCAAAAGCCGGGGCAGTTGTTGGCAAACACAGGAGGGCGTGTAGAAAGCCACTCTGTAAAAACCAAGTAGGAAACTGGGTTTTGCTCTGATGTCTCCCGTCCCTCTGGCGCCTTGCAGGAGTTTGCTGGGGAAGGCTTGCGGACGCTGGTCGTGGCCTTCAAAAACTTGGAGGAAAAATACTTTGAGGACTGGATCAAGCGGCACCACCAAGCGAGCACGGTCCTGGAAGGGCGGGAAGAGAAGCTGTCCAAGTTGTACGAGGAGATCGAGAAAGACTTAATGGTTGGTCTTGCGTGTGGCCTGGGCTCTGCCCTGGGGAGCTGGCGTGTTTGGCCACTGGGCACCGGGACTGTTTTATTTCAACTTGCACGGGTGTCTGAGCAGCTGGCTTGTGATGAGATGGAGAATCCCGGAGCAGTGGGGTGGAAGGGAGCTACAGGGGTCACATCCAGTCCCACCCCTGCCCCATGGCATCAGCCCTGCCCAAACCATCCCACACAACCACCGTCTGAAGTCTGCACAGGACTGTTGTCAGCCCTGACACAGCACAGACCTAACACCCGAACCTGCCCCAAGTCCCGCTTCTATGAAATGTCGATAGATGCTCAAGAGGACGCAAGCAGCGGCCGTGCCCCTGCTACAGAGGAAGGCAACATCCCCCCAGTCCACACCAATTTGACCAGGGAGTTGGAGCCAGGCCCCTGAGCTCTGTCATGCAGCCTCCTGCAAAGCTGGAGCCAGTTTTCCTCCTTGCCGTGTCAGCTTTGCTAGCCGACTCCTTGCAAATCCCGTCTGGCCATAAGGGATGTAGGGGGTGGCACCATATGCAGGGATGTACCCAGGGGGTTTGAGCGAGCCAGGGAGCTGTCGGGGTGGGCCGTAGCCCGGGATGCCCAGCCTGCTGGCTGCTTTTGGTGCATTCGTTGGAGTTGCTGGTGGAGAGGAGAGGGCGGGTGGGAGCCCTGCACCGCTGCAACGACTGCCCGGCCATGTGGGAAAGCTCATCCTTTCTCTCCCGCTCCCTGCTCAGCTGCTGGGCGCCACGGCCATCGAGGACAAGCTGCAGGATGGGGTCCCGCAGACCATCGAGACCCTCAGCAAGGCCCACATTAAACTCTGGGTGCTGACTGGAGACAAGCAAGGTAACAGGGCCGTGGCACCCAGTGTCCCCCACTTCTCGCTCGTGTCCTGGTTCTGCCTCCAACCCAGACCCTGCCGTGCTGGTATTTCCTTCCAGACAGCGGGGCCGGGCAGGCAGGGAGGAGTGTCGTCCTTGGGCAGCGGGGCAGGAAGCCTCGCTGCTTCCAGACCACGCGCCTCTCTCCCTTGTCCGCGCATGGCAGACGGGGTCTTGCCTTGACGGTCTCCTCTGACGGCCCCAGCACATTGGCTGCAGGCAATGTACCGTGCTGAGTCTGTTGTGCTGAGACCCCAGTCCGTCTGCACCAAGGGGTCTGCGTATCCTTGCTCCCCACCGTGTAAATGGGGTGCATTCTGGGCCATCAGGGGGCTGGTTCCTTCCTGCTGGCGCATCCCTGGGGTCCTTGCGTTCCCAGAGACGGCGGTGAACATCGGCTACTCCTGCAACCTGCTGTACGATGACATGGCCGACATCTTCATCATCGAGGGCAGCACCTCCAACGATGTCCTCACCGAGCTCAGGTAGGTGGCACGAGGTCTGCCAGCTGGCGCGGGGCTTCGGCTTCGGGGTGGCAGCTGGGGCTGCTCTCGCCTGGTCTTCCCTCGTCTCCCTTCTCCTGGCGCAGCTTGCTGGTGTAACCGTGAAGTCGGGGCTGGGTCTCACTAGAGCATCCTTTGGATGTGATGGGCCCTTGTGGGGATTTTAGGGGGGCTTCTGCAGGGTCTGATCTGATCCAGCTGTGAAAGGGCCCCAGCTGCAGAGGGCGAGTTATTCTGGTACCTCCTCGGGTCTGGCACATCCCGCTCACCAGCCCAAGCCTCCGCGTTTTCCTTTTGCTGTAGCTGGGATTTGTAAAAACCAAGGGCCTTTCTGTGTCCATGCTCGCTGCCTTTAGGGATGCCCGGAAGAAGATGAAGCCGGAGTCCTTCTCGGAAAGCGACGAAGCGAACGTCCAGTTTGAAAAGAAAACCAAGAAGTCGTGCATCCTGCCTGAGGAGCAAGCCAACGGGGTGTACGGCCTCATCATCAATGGCCACAGCCTGGTGAGGATGGTGAAGCATTGCCATTAGGAGCTGGGCACGTGGGGAAATGGGAGCGTGGCTGGAAATCGGCCCTGTAGTGTGCGGGACAGCTACTTCCAGACGAATGCTCGAGCTTGGCTAGGGAGAGACGCAGGCAGGAGATGCAGCCGATTGCACGGAGCCGCCCTGTTCTCCGGTAGCCAGAAAAAGCAAAAAGCAAAGGGCTTTTAGCACCAGCAGTGTTTGCCCTGGTGACCGACGTCGCTTCCTGTGGGCTGCTCCTTCCCCCCAGGCAGTGCGGGGGGCAGGTTCAGTCCCCTTGCCCACGTCGGGGATGGGTGGTCCATCATTGAAGAAGTTGTGGGATCTCCATCGAAATAGTCCTTCTCTGGAAGTTTTCAGGAGCTGGTTGGAAAGACACTTGGCTGGAATAGTTTAGTCAGGGATGCTCCTGCCTGGAGCAGGAGCCTTGTGAGCTCGCTTCCTGCTGTGGGCTCGCCGAATTCTTTGCCGAGGAAGTATTTTCCTTGCAAAATTTTCCTTGCAAGTATTTTCCTGTAGTAGAGAAACAAGTGAAAGCTCAGAGCTGGCACTCCAGAGGCATTCCTCAGTCCAACAAGGGTGTCTCGAGTCGATTTAAAGGTTGAGAGCCACCGACTTAGATCCTCCGGGCACCGCGACTGGCTTGCGCTGCGCTGGACTTGCGCTGCTCGGCTCTGTCCCGTGCCGGGAGCTGGCCGGGCACCTTCTTGAGAGCGTGCTGTCTCTCTCCCTCCCCGTGCAGGCCTATGCGCTGGAGGGGAACCTGGAGCAGGAGCTGGTGCGGACGGCTTGCATGTGCAAGGTGGTGATCTGCTGCCGGGTGACACCGCTGCAGAAGGCGCAGGTGGTGGAGCTGGTGAAGAAGTACAAGAAGGCCGTGACGCTGGCCATCGGCGATGGAGCCAACGACGTCAGCATGATCAAGAGTAAGTGAGCAGCATGCAGCACCCGTGCCTGGCCAGGGGCACGGAGCCGCTGTGCATTCAATAGGGGCTTGCACCCGTGCTGAGTGAAGTGGGGTCTGCATGGGAAGGTCGAGATGCCTATGTTGCCAGCTTCTGACAGCAGCATTTCTTGGGGATATTCTTGGGGGGGGTTGGATGGCAAGCTCCTTGAGGCCACGGTCATGTCTGTCCACGTGTCCAGATGGGCGCGGGGACCACGGTGCTGGCTGGGGCCTCTGTGCAGTCCTGCAATGCAAGCAGTGGAGGATAATACATCCTGGGGGTGGACGAGCCTGGTGAGGAGGGGAATAATGAGCAGCTTTTATGTCTGTAAATAGTCTGTGTGGTCCTGTGCGAACATTTTAGCGCCCCTGGGACGCTCTCCACCACTTCCTTCCATGCTGCAAACTGCTGCTTGCTGGTCCCAGGGCGGTTGTTCTTTATAAGACGCCTCGCTACTTCCATAGCTCTACGAAGAGCTCCCATAACTAGGTTTAATTCAATTAAGATCATTCAGAGGGGCGTCCTGCTAATCGCCCTCATGACGATTTGCAAAGAAATTGATTAACCAGGGTCTTTTAATTAAGAGGCTAAGTAGGGAGCTTTGCGGGAGAGAACTCGAGCCGCCAGTCAAGAATGAATAAGGGAAAGTATATGTGATAATTAGAAGCAAACCCCGCCACCATGGGTGGATTGGGATTCGGGGATATTATCAACTCGTTATCCCACAGAAGACCCTGGATCCAGCCAGCCAGCCACCGGGAGTGTTCTCATTAGCTAAACTTGTGCAATTAGCTGTCGCATTCAACTTGCATCCACATTTAATAAAGGCAACAGTGCTCTTCAAAGGGACGTGATTGTTTAATGACGGGATTGAACTGTGGAGGCTGAAGGAACATGCAGCGACTGCCGGGCTGGCTTGTAGCACGGGGTCTGAACAGCTCTGCGTGGACGTGGGGCTTCGGGACGGGAGGGGTGCAGTGCTGGGTGGGAGGACGCGCACACACACATCGCATTTAAATAAAAGTCCAAGGGACTTCTCCAGCCAGGGCAGTGAAGTTGGTTTGCTGCTAGAAACCATCAACTATCAAGGACAGTGTTTGTTGTCAACACGGGTGGACGCAGACTTTTGAAACGGGGGGTGCAGATGGGGTGCATCATCAGATAGATCACAATGCACATTGCTTGCCAGCTGAAGAGAAACTAGAAGCTTTAATTAATATGGTAGGTGGGCGAACTATATTATTCAGTTGAAAACCCAAACCAAAAACCCCCAAATATAAGTGTTGGAAGGCGCACTCATTTGCTGGAGTATATGTAAAGTTTTTAAAAAGAACAAACTAGGCAAAAAGTAGTTAAAGGGCGTTGTTTCATTAATCTTGGAGCTGTTATAGTTAAATGTAAATCTCTTATTGAGGTTCATAAAACAAAACCTAGCCTTCTTGAGCATCTTGACAGGGTTGCCTGTATGTCCCTGCCTGTCTTTTCTACACCTGAGTTAATAAGGCCACACCTGAGCGAAGGATTTTAGCTAGAGCTAAAACCAGTCTGCAGGGTTATGAAATAGAGAAGAGACGTGACCAGGAATGGCTAACAGATAGCAGCCCTGCAGAGGAAAGGATAGTTTGAATAATGCAACATCAAGACCATGAAAAAGAAGAGAGGGGCATTATTAACACCTGTGGAGGGGAGAGATTACCAGGAATCATGGAGACCACCAGGAGCCCTGAAGTCAATTGACTCCCTCAGCACTGCCTGAATAGAGATGCCACTACCACTGCCAGGCAGTTGCTTTTAAAGTTTGGTTAGAGCCGGAATGAAAGTTTGGGTAGAGCAGGGGATCCGCCCCTGCAGATGTGAATGGGGTGAGTTTAGATAGTGGTGGTCTGTCCTCGCTGCTGTGTTATAGCAATGCTGGAATCGGCCCGGCTCCAGCAGCGACCTGCGAATGCTTTGGAGGCGCGTGGCCCACACAAGTGGCCGGGCCCAGCCCCAGGCAGACCTGCTCGAGAAGCACCGGCGCTAACAGAGCTCTCCTGGTAACGGTGCGGGTCGTCCTCTCATTGCAGCCGCCCACATCGGGGTGGGGATCAGCGGCCAGGAGGGGATGCAAGCTGTGCTCTCCAGCGACTTTTCCTTTGCGCAGTTCCGCTACCTGCAGCGCCTGCTCTTGGTCCACGGCCGGTGGTCCTACATCCGCATGTGCAAGTTCCTCCGGTACTTCTTCTACAAGAACTTCGCCTTCACGCTTGTCCACTTCTGGTATGGCTTCTTCTCCGGCTTCTCTGCACAGGTAGGTCAGCCAGCTCCCTTCCCCGGCTCTAACAGACCACGGGGAGCATCTTTTTTTGTTGCCGTTCTGCTTAGGGTCAGACCAATCCTTCCTGGTCAGACTGGTCCAGACTGGGGAGGTTTGCCTTCCTCTGCCCGGGGTCTCTTGAGTGCATATTAACCCCCTTTGCAGCAGCAGGACGTTGGCGGCCGCGGCCCCCCTGCTTTCCCTGCAGCAGGGTTGGGGGTGATGCCTGTGGCCGTCACAGGTGACTCTCGTGTTGCTCAGAAGTTGGACAGTGAACTTGTTTGGGGTGGTTTGGACAGGGCTGATCCTGCCTCAGGCAGGGGCTGGTGTAGCTGTGACCTCCGCAGGTCCCTTCCAGCCCCGCGGCTCTGTGATCCTCTGTATTGCACCGATGGTGAAGTCTCACTGGCGCTCAGATGCGTTAAGGACGGGATGGTTTGTCTGTGGATTTCATAGATTTCATAGACATTCGGGCTGGAAGGGACCTCGGAAGATCATCGAGTCCAGCCCCCTGCCCAAAGGGCAGGAAGTCAGCTGGGGTCATAGGATCCCAGCAAGATAAGCATCCAGTTTGCTCTTGAAGGTGTTCAATGAAGGCGCTTGAACCACCTCCGGCAGCAGGCTGTTCCAGACCTTGGGGGCTCGGACAGTAAAGAAATTCTTCCTTATGTCCAGCCTGAAACGATCTTGAAGTAGTTTGTGACCATTCGACCTCGTCATCCCTTGGGGCGCTCAGGCTAAAGAGTCCCAGGGCTCTCAGCCTGTCATCGTAGGGTCTGCTTCCCTGACCTCTGATCATGCGCGTGGCTCTTCTCTGGACTCTCTCAAGCTTCTCCACATCCTTTTTGAATTGTGGAGCCCAAAACTGGACACAGTACTCCAGCTGCGGCCTCACTAAGGCCGAGTACAGGGGGAGAATGACGTCCCGGGATTTGCTTGAGAAGCATCTATGGATGCAAGCCAGCGTTTTGGTCGCTTTACTAGCCGCCGCATCGCATTGCAGGCTCATGTTCATCTTGTGGTCAATGATGACCCCCAAGTCTCTTTCTTCCATAGTGCTAGCCAACATAGCACTGCCGAGCCTATTAAGGATGCTGCGGGTTTTTCTCCCCAAGGTGGAGAACCTTGCATTTATCGGCGTTGAACACCATCAGATTCTCGTCCGCCCACTTGCTGAGCCTGTCCAGGTCAGCCTGGATCACCCGCCTGTCTTCTGGTGTGGATGCTTTGCCCCAAAGTTTGGTGTCATCGGCGAACTTGGCCAGTCCGCTTCTGACTCCAGTGTCCACATCATTAATGAAGATGTTGAACAGTATGGGTCCAAGGACAGAGCCTTGGGGGACCCCACTGGTCACAGGACACCACGATGAGTGACTTCCATCAATTACTACCCTCTGGGTCCGACCCCGGAGCCAATTTTCCAGCCAGCGGATCGTGGAGGACCCAAGGCGACAATTGGCCGGTTTCTAAAGGAGGCGATCATGGGACACCAGATCGAAGGCTTTTTTGAAGTCAAGATATATGACATCAATCTCTTCTCCCTTGTCCAGGTGATAGGTCACCTGGTCGTAGAAGGAAATGAGCTTGGTCAAGCAAGACGTACCCACAACAAACCCGTGCTGGATGTCTTGCACACCACCCTCTCTAGAAGAGGCTTGGGGCAGCTTATAATAAAAACCTGAGAAATGATGAGACAGTTAAAAGCATTAAAGCAATGGGTAATAGAACAAGCTGCCCCCAGACAAGGTCCCAAACCCTCACCCTGCTAAAAGCAGGCAGGTACCAAAGGAAGCTGTGATTTCTAGCTGCACCAAATGCAGCCACGAGACCAGGGCGGGTGCCGCTCACCTGTCTGCATTAGGAAGTGTTTCTGGTGGGGAAGTCCTGGCTTTGCTAATGAATTTCTCCTGCTGATGTTTGTGTGCATTCCTTTTCTTCCATTGCCAGAAGCAATGAAGTGTTACCGGCCTGTTCAGAGCCTGGTGAAATTCCCACCCCATCTTCCAAGGTTGCACATAAAACTGCCCCACGCTCGTGCAATTTGAGGGTGCATTGTAGGGCACGCTTGCACTGCTTCCAACATGCTGTGCGCACGCATGCTGGCGTGTGGGATCCAGCATGCCCAGGCTCTCCCCTGTGATGGATCGCTCCTGCCATCCAGTGGCTGTGACTCCGTCCTGCTGCTAACACAGGGTTTAGCTCAACTTTATGCACAGGAAAACATTGATCCAGATGAATTAGTGCTGCCATCAGTCTGGATAGACTTTCTGGATATTTTTTTCCAGATAATCGAACGCTGCTGTGTGAAGTGCCGAAAGCTGGACTTTAAATACTGTGATGTGCTGCCCATAGAAAAAAAAAGAGAGAGAAATAAGTATAGGTGCCTGTGTAGTACTTCACCCAGGAGAACTTTTACAGACTTTTCTCCGATGCCCGATGAAGGGTGTTTGTGCCCAAAAGCTTGCAATTAAAGATTTATTTTTATTTATTTATTTATTTTTTTGCAAAAATCTAGTTGGTTTAAAAAAGATATCACCCTCTACCATGAGTCCTGGTTGCTTTTAAAATCCCCAAGCACTATTAAATTTATGACCTGCAGGTCATCTTGATGACCAGCCAGGCCCATATGCCAGCAGGCCCAAAGTTGATTAACCAGCAGGTTTTGTATTAACGAAGGTAGATGCCTTTGTTAATACAAAACCTGCTGGTTAATTGACGTTGCAGATAGTCTACTTTCTTCTCACAGCATCTCTCCTCTAAGACAGGCTCTGGATTGGAGAGGCGGCTGCTTCGGCTGGTCTCACAGCGTCCAGGGGCTGGGCAGCAACCAGGGGAATTAACAAAAAAATGACCCTCAGCTTGGCTTTTCTTGGTGCATGAAGTCTCCTGGCCAGATGTGGTGAAGCTTCTAGCAGCGAGCTCGGGATAAGAGGGTATACTCTCAACCCGCTTCCTATCACCACCCTTGTGCACATGCATGTGCACACACACACACACACAGAGGAGCATAGCTGGCTGTGGCCAGTAACAAGCCCTGGGAGCCAGACTGGGCTGCTCAAAAGGCCTTGCCCTCGCTGGTGTGAAACCCGTGCACTCCTAGTTGTGGTGCTGGAGACACGAATCCCTCCCTGGTGCTCGGAGCAGGTCTGCAGACTCCCGGGGCACGAGGCATCCGCCTCGCGTGACATCAGGGGTCCTGTTCTGGGTGCGGGGATTTCCTTGGCACGACTGCGATCGCCTCCAAGCAGAGCTGCCCATCTGCTGGGTGTCAGCCAGTTGCTCTTTACTGGGCTCGTGGGGTGTTTCGCTGGTTCATGGTTTGGGGTTTTTTTCCGCTGGTCAGTTGGGCTTTCTGGTCTGTATTCACAGAGGGAAATGCCGGAGTGGGGTTGTAGTTGCAATGGTCCCGAAATTACGGCAGCCCGTTGGTGATCCTTAGCTAACCCACTGCTCTGCTTTTTCTTGCTCTAGACGGTGTATGACGAGTGGTTCATCACCCTTTACAACCTCATCTATACCTCTCTCCCGGTGCTAGGGATGAGTCTCTTTGACCAGGTAAAGTTTACTGGGAGTAGCTGCAGTGCTCTGGTATAGCAGTGCCCCCGGTTCTTCAGTCCAGCTCCACGACAAAGGCCGCGGGTGCCTAACACAATTGCCGCAGGGTGATTTACCCTGATGTTATTCCATTGCACGATTACGCCAGCTGCTATTAGAGCCCCGGGCTGGTAGGAGACGGGGGAGCCACGCTGCATTTCCCCAGAGCTTGCTGTGAGCACTTGTGCATGCAGCCAGCTCTGGGGAGGAGCCTGCAACTACATAAGTGCATGCTGTGACTGTGGGAGAGGCAGTGAGACCCGCATGCCATCCTAATTACACCAAGAGCCCTGGGATCATCAGCCCTGCATGCAAAAGTCCAACAGGAGTTGATGGGAAATAATGCATGTGTTATTCATCCCTGTTGGGTGAGAATTGTACCCCTGCAACGGGTGACTCAAAGGAGATCTGAAAAGCCTGTCATGTCCATTGTCCTCTTGAAGTCCTATGGGTAGGAGGGAAGATGGCACCTTAGGGGGGTGTTACATGTTACACTTAACACGTTAGCTGCACTTAAACTGCTAGCATCTGGTGTTCGTTCGAGTAGGATAATCCGTGCGCTCTAGTAAGGCGGTACAGCGATGTCTTCTGGGATCATCTAGTTGTTTTAGGTAACACGCATCACCTTAATGTGGGGCTGCTCCCTGGAGATGATATAATCCATCGTGGTCTCAGGGTGGGACCCACAGTCGCTGTTTGTGGGTCCCGGCCCCAGGACTTGCCTAGGAGTCTTCACCCTGCTCTGGGGATCCCTGGGCTGAGACCTGAAAATCAGCTCATATTTGGGTCTCAGCCCTGAGCCAGTTGGTGCTGAGCCCCAAAACTCAGCTGACTTTTGGGCGTTAGGCATGGGGGCCAATTCAAGGCTCCAGTGCAGTGAAGTGATCTACAATTAGATGCAATGGCTCAGACCTCTTTCAAAGTCATTTTAGCTGTTGCCTAGGGTCTAAATACGACGCGTGCTAAGTGTAACGCTTGACGCAGCCCCAGAAGGCTGCCTGGTTCAGACGGGCAGGAGCTGCGGGAGGCAACGACCGGCTTTGTCAGATGCAAGTCCTGCAGAGTGACCTGCCCTGTCCCACGCCCCCACCATCCAGCTGCATTTGTCTGGGTCATGCATTACCCCAGGAGCTGTTCAGGAAATGCTCAGTTTTCCCCAGTTATGCTCATAGGAAGTGACCCCCACCTCCCTGGCCACTGTCCTCGGGGACCCCTGCCTGCTCAGGCAGCACCGGGCCAAGCCTGTGGCCAAAGACATCCTCTGTCTTTGATGGTGCCTTTAGCTCTACCTCTCTTCCTCTTTGGCTTGCACCCCAGACAGCCCCTCAGCCTGCGACCCCGAACTTTCAGGCTCCCAGGGCAATGCATGTGCTATGGCCAGACCAGAGAGGTCTTAAACCTCCCACTGCCCCGAGGCTGTTGGGTGCCCAGAGGTGAGCAGGGGGTGCCCAGGCCAGACCCTCTAGGTTTAACCCTTCTCAGACATGCCTTTTGTTGCTGACTTTGCCCAGCAATGTGTCCGTGGCTCTCCGTTACAGGCCAACCTGCGTGCCGGCTGTGTGCACCAGGGCTCCCAGCACTCAGTTCTGGGCAGCACCGGCCTCCACGCTGCACAACCCAGCCTGGTGTCTGGGCTTTTGACTTCCTGCCATGTTTGCTGGAGCAGTGGGTGCATTATTGCAATGTGGCCTCCGCTGTGCATGGGGCGTTTTCAACCCCTCCGATGTGACGTGGCTGGTCGGCGGTGTCCGTGGGTCTGGGCGCTAACCCCCTCCCCTGCTCTGCTCCCAGGACGTGGACGACCGCTGGAGCATGCAGTTCCCCCAGCTCTACACGCCCGGGCAGCAGAACCTGTATTTCAACAAGGTAGAGTTCGTCAAGTGCATGCTGCACGGGGTCTACAGCTCCCTCATCCTCTTCTTCATCCCCTACGGCGCCATGTATGACACCATGCGGAGCGACGGCAAGGCCGTTGCTGACTACCAGTCCTTCGCCCTCATGGCCCAGACCTGCCTGCTCATCGTGGTCTCTGTACAGGTGAGGCCATGCCCATGACATGCCGAGGGGGGATTTGATAGCAGCCGTCACCTCCCTGCAGGGGGGCTGCAAAGAGGATGGAGCTGGACTGGTCTCAGTGGGGGCAGATGGCAGGACAAGGAGCAATGGGCTCAAGCTGCAGCAAGGGAAGTTGAGGTTGGATATTAGGAAGAAATTTCTTATGATGAGGGTAGTAAAGCACTGGAACAGGTACCCAGAGTGGTGATGGGATCTCCATCCTTGGTGGTTTTGAAGCCCCAGGTAGACAAAGCCTTGGCTGGGATGATGTAGCTGGGGCTGGTCCTGCTCGGAGCAGGGGTTGGAGTAGATGTGACCCCCTGAGGTTCCTTGTAACCCTCATTTCTATGATCCTACGATCTCCAAGGTGTGCGTACCTTCCTCTTTGCAGCCAGGTCTCATCAGAGCTTGGCTGGGGCCCACGCGCAGAGGTGAGGCCTCAAGTTGGGGCCAGCTGAGGTCTCTCCCTTGCTGCCGAGGGCAGGATGCAGAGCAACAGCTTAAAATTGCAGCAAAATAGGTGTAGATAAGACTGCAGGACAACCCTCTTCCTGTCCAAGCAGGGGGGCGGTGGCACGGGCTGCCCAAGGAAGGGCTGCGATCTCCTTCACTGGAGGTTTCCAGGAGTCTGGACAAGTCTTGTGTGGGGAGATTTAGGAGCACCCTCCGGCATCTGTGCAGGGGGCTGGACCACATGGCCCTTGAGGTCCCTCCCAGGCCCCGGGACCTGACAGACTGGATGAGGCAGGGTACGACATGGATGAGGCTGCTCAGAGCCCAGTGCATTGCTTTGTCCCACTAGATCGGGCTGGACACTGCCTACTGGACAGCTGTGAACCAATTCTTCATTTGGGGCAGCCTCGCTGTGTACTTTGCCATCACCTTCACCATGTACAGTGACGGCGCGTACCTGATCTTCACGGCCTCCTTCCCGTTTGTCGGTAAGCCCATGGGCTGGTGCCCCGCTCCGTGCTGGATTTAACGGGGTGGAAGGGTCTCCATGGGTGCAGAAGCAATGCCCTCATCCAAACAATAGCATGCCTGGGCACTTAGCTCTCCCTGCCTTTACCCAACAGCAAGCATTCATTTTGAACGGCGCCTTCCTGGACAGACCCATGGCCAGGCCTTCCCTTTCCTGTCCACATACTCCCTTACTGCCCAGAGGCACGTGCATATTTTTATCAATTAAAAGGGAACTAGAAACTTTACCAATAAGCCTCTGGCCTTGGGCTGTATTATTCAGTTTAAAATCAGAGCAAAAACAAATATAAGATTTATTGGAGTGTGCATTACATGGCTACATCCTATAGCACGCACACAAACCACAACATGCTAGGCAAAAGTAATCCCAATATGTTGTTTTGCGAGCCTTGCAGTTGTTAGATTAAATAGGCATCTCTTTTTCAGATTCATAAAAGAAAATCTAGCCTTCTTGAGCATCTTGATAGTGCATCTAATGCTTCAGTGGAAGTTATTTTCATCCTTGAGTTAATGTTTTTAGTTACAGTTGAAAACAATCTTCAGGGCAGTGAAATAGGAGCTACGTGACCAGGAGCAGCCAACAGACAGCAAAATTGCAGCAGAAAAGTTAGCTTGATAGTTGAATGTCAAGACCATTAGCAAGGAGAGGGGGGTGTTAACACCTACGGAGTGAAGAGTTCAGAAGGGATCAGGCAGATAAGAATGAGCTCACTACTGCCCGAATAGAAATGCCACTACCCCTGCCTGGCAGTTGGTTTTCAACACCAGGTGAAGCAGGAGTCAAAGCAGGGTGGGGATTGTACCTTTGCACCTCCTGGACCCACCCCAGGACCCTGTAGAGTGATTTTGCATGCAGGGATTTTGAACACGTGCAAAACGTGAGCAGCAGCATGGAGAGGAGCTGGGCCGTGAGCAGGTGGCCAGCTCCAAAGCTCTGCGCAGTCACGGCACTCAGCTGGGAGCCCTGTGGTCCACTGGCGAGTCGTGTCGGGGCTCGGTGGGCACCGATGGAGCATGGCTTACTCCATCCTTTTAGGATGAGCTGTTCAACCCAGGCCCCTTGGCCCTTTGCCTTCCCTTACCATGCCCTCACCTGCTTCCCCACTCCCGACTGTTGGTGCTGGTTTGGTTGCAAAAGGGGCGCTACATTGGACCCACTGCAGCCCCCTTTGCAAACAAACCCGCTTGAAACCATTGTAATGCAGGCATTTGAGGCCTGGCCCCTGTGGACCTGGTCACTTGAATGTCCACAGAGCGCAGAATTTGGTCCCCTGACCAAGGCCGCTTAGCTGCGCTGCTTCGCGGCCATCTCCTTCTTGTCCTCCCATGAGCTCCTTTCCGAGGGGGCTGCTGCCGGCGCTTTGGTGTAGAGGAGGAGAGGGCAGCCCCACAGCCCCTCTCCACGTTGCAGCTGCCCCGATGCAGCTGCTTGCGCCTTTCTGCCCACGTCGGTTCCCTCCCCGGGGGGGTAGCAGCTCCCCCAGAGAGAGGTGCGGGGCTCTGGAGGGCTAGGGTATTTCGGGCGGCGGTGCTTTTCCCTGGGACTGGGGGGGAAACAGTGTCGTGGCTTGTGGGGCGTGGGGGGCTGAGACTGAAGGTCAAGGCCCCAGCTCTGCAAAGGGACCCGATGTGGACTCCAGCATGCAGCTGGATTCCCCTCTGCCTCCTGGCACCCGGCGCAGTTGACCTTGGCATGCGGGATGCTTCGTGGCACCAGTGGGGCTCGTCCTGCTCAGAGAGGGCTGGCGAAAGGGGCTCCTTGGGCCTGGTTTGATGGCAAAGTGCTTCTCCATCCTGATGGCGGGGAAGGGGGCCTGGAAGCTGCTGCCCGTGCGGGCGTCATTCACGGTGCTGCCGTCTTGCAGGTACCGCCAGGAACACCCTGAGCCAGCCCAACGTCTGGCTGGCCATCTTCCTCAGCATCATCCTCTGCGTGCTGCCTGTGGTCGGCTACCGGTTCCTGAAGGTGCAGCTCAAGCCGACGGTCAGTGACAAGGTAAAGCGATGGCTCGGCAAACCAGGCAGCTCCCTCCTCACCACTGCCCCTTCCCCTTCCCGGCCAGGCTCGGTGCCCAGGAGCTGGCACGACACAGCCCGGGGCATCTGTGCTGCCCAGGGCGGGCTGGAAGGAGGAGCAGGGGGTGGAGACGCCGCTCAGGCCTCCTGCAGTGACGCGGCGCCTGCCTGCAGAGCCCCGGATTAAATGGAGCATGGAGGCAGCGCTATTTTTAGCTGCTGGCTCGCAGGGCTGTGGCTTAGTGACAGCACCAGCGCGCTCCACAGCCAGCCGAGAGGCCCGGGGCTGCAGGCCTGGCCTGGCAGAGGCTGGGCTCCCAGGAGCATGCATGCACATGCACACGTATGCACATGACTCCTTGGGTTTTGCTGACTGGAGCCAAGTCATTGCTGCTGCTGCTAATGTTCACATACATGCACATACAAATGTAGGCGTGCACGCAGATATGTGTGCGTACATGTGTGCACATATGCCCATGCACACATGACCCCTTGGGTTTTGCTGACTGGAGCCAAGTCATTGCTGCTGCTGCTGCTAATGTTCACACACATACACAAGTGCATGCAGGCATGTATGCATGCCTGTGTGCAAGCATATGTGCGCACCCGTGTGCACATACATTCACACACACGACCCCTTGGGTTTCTCAAAGCCATGGAATGGATTGGACCCCAAACCCTGCCCAACCAGCGCCTGTACTGGGCAGGTTGCTCCAGCCCCCTGGCTGGTCCCGGGAGGGGCTGGGGACCTGCAGTGCCCAGATCGGCCCCGTGCTCAGGGAGGCACCTGCAGTTGGTCCAAACCCGTTGTCCACCTTGTTAGCCAAACTATGCAGTTGATCCTGACACAGCACCAGGCATCGCACTTGAACGTGCCGCAGGTAAAGCGGGGTGCATTTCGTTGCTCCGTTCTGACGCGGTCCCCGGGGTGTCTCTGGGCAGCGACGGCCAGTCCCTGCAGCTCCCCTGGCTCAGCCGGATGCTTTCTAATTCCAGGTCGTACAGAAGATAAAGGAGCATAAGAAGCGGCCCCTGCCCCCCTCGCCCAAGAGGCGCCTACGCCGGACCAGCACCCGCCGCTCGGGCTATGCCTTCTCCCACCAGCACGGCTTCGGCGCCCTCATCATGTCGGGCAGGAACATGCGGCCGAAGTCGCCCTTTGGCGCCACAGGGATGTTTTCCCCCAACAGCGAGAAAAACCGACACAAGTGAGAGCCAGGAAGAGACGCCAGCTGGGCTCTGCATAGCTGCCCGGACACAGCCCTGCAATGGGGATCAGGGCCTTCTCCTTTCATCCGTGCTGCTCTGTGACTTGTGCTCCCAGGCCGAGGGGCACGGGGGCAATTCTGCTCCCGCCGGCCTGCAAGGGGTTGGAGCGCGTGGTGCAAAGCTGGGTGCGCTCACGAGATCTCCCGTGGTGCCATCCTTTTGTCCCTCGATGCAATACCTCAGAGCACGGCGATGCTCCAGGGGAGGGAGGCTTGGTGTCGGAAACTCTGCCGTCCCCATGGCTTTGCCTCTGCTGTGAGTGATGGCAGGGGGATGCCCCTCCCTGTAGCAGCTCCAGGACCCCCAGGGATGACCCTGGCCCTGAGATGCAAGCCCCTTGCTCCCAAATGGTTGCATGGCAAGCCTGGATCTGTGCTGGGCTTGAGCACTTTGGAGGGCACGGGGCAGGGGATGACCCCCCAAGTCAGTCCAGTGCTGGTCCCTGCTATGTGGCCCTTGTTCCACGGCAAAGCTCTTCATCCCTGCACCGACCGGAGCAGTGATGTCCAGGTGCAAGGACTTGTCACCTGGGTGTCCCAGCTGGCTCTCACGGCAGGGCAGACCCAGCCAGGGTCAAGTACACCTTGCCTTGGGACTCTCACAGGGTGGCACCGGGGCATCGGAGGGCAGAGACTGCCCCGCTGCTGCAGGGCCGGGTTGGGGGCTGCTTCTGTGCAATGCATGGGGTCGGCCTGGTGGTCTTCTGCCCTCGCCTCTCCTGAACAGCAAGGGCGAGAAGGTGCTCAGGACCGGGAGCAATGCAGTTTCCCCATACCCGTGAGGATCTGCCAGCTCTTTTGGCCTTGCACGCATGGGTTCATCCACCGTCAGCTGGGAGGATCTCCAGTGCATCAAACCACCAGCCGAGAAACAGGAGCTGTTGAGCGGTTTGGCTTGCGGTGGGGTCCTGGCTTCAACGGTGACCCTGTGAAGCTGCTCGGGCACTAGCTCCCCTTTGGTTTGGCTCTTGGGGACCCATGTGTGCAGGCAGATGGGTGTGTTGGCGTGGCGGCTTGGAGCGTGGTCGCTGTGCCGGCCCGAGCAGCCCCGCCTGTGCCGGTCCCGAGCTGTGATGCGCTCCTGGTATCGCACGGTGTTTTGTAAACCCGTTTTTTAACAATAAATCGTGACCAATGGGACGAGTAACCCACCGCCCAGCTGTTCGTTGACGAAGGGAGCGGGCTGCAGGGGTCCCCGGGAGGGGCTGGATGGGAGCGGGGTGCTGTGGGGCGCAGGTCCTGGCCCGACACCAGCCACCATGGAGGAAAGTGGCAAGAAACCCGGAGATGTGGGTTCAGACAGGGTTCGAGACTCAGCCCAGTGCACCCGTGGGCTCGTGCTTTATACTGCCGTCATGCCGGGGTTTTCACATCCGTGTGAATTGTGCACGTGTGTGCCGTGCTGGGCTCGGCCATGGCAGCCGTTTGTGCAGGTTTGGAGGAAGAACGGCTTTACTTTCCAACAGGGCTCCAAGGCCGCTGGGGGGCAGGGCCTGGGGCTGCCTCTCATCCCTGCCACCGTTCACTGCGTGTCCTTGGTCATGCCGCTGTGCGGCCATGCCCGTCGGCTGGCCTCCCACTCTGAACCCCAGCAGCCACAGGTGGGAACTGTGGTCCAGATCCCGGCACTGGAGCCGAATCTTACTGCCCCCAGCTGGCCCAGGACCAGGGGGCATTGGGGATGGCCCTGGGGCAATAGAGAAGCGCAGGGAGGGGAGCATGGGAACTTGGAGCAGAGGGGGCGTGGCCTTGGGGAAGTGGGTAGGGCCACTCGCAGCCTATCTGTGGCTATGGGGGCGGGGTCAGGTCTTGCAAATGTTGGATGGTGGGCAGGGCTTGCAGCCAGGCCCCGCCCCCAGGCTGCAACATAAGCAGTGGGCTGCAGGGGACCTGGGGTTTGCTTATTATGGGTTTGCTCAATGCAGCTCGTTACCACTGCATTGCCTGTTGCGCTGCCCACTACACCACACTGCCATTGCGTTTGCCACCTCATTGCCTACCGCACTGCCCCACGGCACTGCCCCCTGCATTTCCCACTGTACTGCCATTGCATTTCTAGCTGCGTTGCCCATTGCACTGCTCTGCAGCTCCAGGGTGCTGCACTGGGGCCCTTGCCCCCCACAGGCCTGGACATAGTTTGCCCTCAGCTGGGACCCCTTGCATCCTACCCGGCGTCAGTGGGGCCCCATGCGTGTCTGGGACAGCCCAGGGGAGCTGACGGTTGCGGGGACGATGGCCTGGGAGCCGGAGGCAGGCAGGGGCCTGCGCCTGAAGCAAGCCACAGAGCTGCTCTGCTCCGACGTCTGGTGTCGCATGAGGAGTGTGTGATGCTGTCCTGCTGCGCGGCTGCCTCGGATCGGTTACTGTCTCCTAGAGATGCGGGTCAGGTGTTGCAGAAGCATGGCTCCTGCCCCGGGACAGACAGCAGAGGGAACGGGAGCTGTCTGTCCTGGCAGGCGCAGGCTTTGCCAGGGCCAGCCGTGACTAACAACCCTGTGGCTTCGAGGAATGCAGGTTCATTATCGATCAGCGGCTGCATGATGTATTTTAAATGTGCCCGTTGCCCGTGTTGGCACTTGCATGCATTGCAACTTGAATTATTCAGGGCCCTGCAGCACTGGAGGAAGAGCCGGACCCTCGGAGGACTGCTAGGCTGACTGATCATCCCTCTCGGCTCCACCCAGAGCTTGTGGCCCTCTGCCCTCCCGGCTCTCCCGGCAGGGGCCCGTTGCTCCTTTGCAGCCTTGTTTATTCCCAGATCGGCTGCTGTATTTAAAGCCAGCAATCCCATCCCGGCTCAGCTCACTTCGGCAGCCTCCCCACGCTCAGCTCTCCTAGGCTGGCCTTGGCAGGCGGCTCCCCCCGACCCTCCGCACGAGGGGGACCAGGGCTGTGCACGCTCGCTTCCAAATGAGGTCCAGGGACTCTGGTGATACTTGTCTCTCGTCACCAGTGATGCATCCCGGGGTTGCGCTGGCCCTTTCCGTGGCTTCGTCATGTCAGCGGCTCGTGGCCTTGACTGTGCAGCTGAGCCATACCCATGTGGCAATGATTCAAAGCGATAGTCTGCACCTCTGGGTTGCTGAATTGTTGGGCTCGGTGCTTGCAGCCACGGTGCTGCTCCGGCCTCCTCTCGAGCAGAGAAACTCCAAAATCCCATGGAGAGGGGGAGAGGCCGTGGGGGCAAGACTCTCCAGCCAGGACCTTGCGGGGTTGGTGCAGCAGGAGCATTGGCACAGCCCCGGCTGCAGCACCCAGTGCCTCTGTGGGGTGGGGGCGCTAAAAAAAATCCTGACCTGCAAAACAGCAGCGAGAAGGCAATCTCCTCCGGCTGCAGGTTTCCCTTCCCCTGGCTGGGGGGAGGGCAGAGCTGCCCCCACCCCCGAAGTTCCCCTTCCCCAATGAACTGAGCCCCTCCCGAGCCTTGGCTTTAAGGGCGAGCTCATCTAAAGCACTGGAGGATGCAGGTCCGGTTGTCCGGCATGGTCCGTGGCTCAGCTTGTGGCCCTGGGGTCAGCGTGTCCCCCTTGCTGTCATGCATGTGCAGGGGGGCTGGGAGCACTGGGATGGACGCTGGCCGGGCAGAGGATTTTCTGCACCCTGTCCTCCTCCCCAGCGCCCGGCCCTGAATCCCCCGGTTGGGGTTTGTTGCGTGTACCCTGGCTCATGCAGGGTTGGAGGGCGAGAGACTTGTAGGGCATCTCCAGGGAGGTGGGAGCAAGCGGGGTCCTTCGCCCAAGCCCTGCGACCTGCCCCTGGAGTGAAACGGTCGCCTTCGCTGGGTGAGAGCAGGATTTGGGGCTCTGCTCCGGGTGGGAATTCGGGCTGCTCGGCCCCGTGGTGCAATGAGCTGAACTGGCCTCGAGACGGCTGCTTCGGGGCTCTCTCCTCTGCCCGTGTTCGTGCAGCGCCGTGCACGCAGCCACCGGCCCTGCCTCCCATGGGGACGGATGCCTCCACCCTGCGTCTGGGAGGCCCCGGCGGGGTTGCCGGGCCTGCGGCGAGCAGCCTCTTGCACAGCCTGGAGCTGTTTTTAAACCAGACAAATGTTGGGGCTGAGCTCCCTTTTTTTTAGCGCATTCCTG